CGAGGTCGATGGCCGTGACTGTCACACCTGGGTCCCATTTATCCCCATTTATCCCACAATTATCCCACATTTAACCCCCGTTGCCTGTCCCAGGTGTGTCCCAGGTGTGTCTCACCTGTCTCAGGTGTGCCACCTGCAGACACGACGCGGCCCAAGCGCGAGTACGAGGTCGACGGCCGCGATTGTCACACCTGGGACACACCCAGATCACATTTCACACCCATTTAACGCCCGTTACCTGTCCCAGGTGTGTCCCAGGTGTGTCTCACCTGTCACACCTGTCCCACCTGTCGCACCTGCAGACCGAGTACGAGGTCGATGGCCGCGATTATCACACCTGGGACACACCTGGGCCCCATTTATCACACAATTATCCCACATTTAACCCCGTTACCTGTCCCAGGTGTGTCACACCTGTCACACCTGTCGCACCTGCAGACACGACGCGGCCCAAGCGCGAGTACGAGGTCGACGGCCGCGATTATCACTTTGTGGCCTCGCGGGAGCGCATGGAGAAAGACATCCAGGGGCACAAGTTCATCGAGGCGGGGCAGTACAACAGCCACCTGTACGGCACCAGCGTCCAATCCGTGAGAGAGGTGGCTGAACAGGTAAATACACACCTGGGCACACCTGAGATACACCTGAGATACACCTGGGTGCAGCTGGGATAGACCTGGGTGGGGCAGTACAACAGCCACCTGTACGGCACCAGCGTCCAATCCGTGAGAGAGGTGGCTGAACAGGTAAATACACACCTGGGCACACCTGAGATACACCTGAGATACACCTGGGTGCAGCTGGGATACACCTGGGCGGGGCAGTACAACAGCCACCTGTACGGGACCAGCGTCCAATCCGTGAGAGAGGTGGCTGAACAGGTAAATACACACCTGGGATACACCTGAGATACACCTGGGTGCAGCTGGGATACACCTGGGCGGGGCAGTACAACAGCCACCTGTACGGCACCAGCGTCCAATCCGTGAGAGAGGTGGCTGAACAGGTAAATACACACCTGGGCACACCTGAGATACACCTGGGTGCAGCTGGGATACACCTGGGCGGGGCAGTACAACAGCCACCTGTACGGGACCAGCGTCCAATCCGTGAGAGAGGTGGCTGAACAGGTGAGATACACACCTGGGCACGCCTGAACACACCTGGGAACACCTGCGATACACCTGGGTACAGCTGGGGGAGTGTGGGAACACACCTGGGGCAGTACAACAGCCACCTGTACGGCACCAGCGTCCAATCAGTGAGAGAGGTGGCTGAACGGGTAAATACACACCTGAGATACACCTGAACACAGCTGGACACACCTGGGTACTGCTGGGATACACCTGGGTGGGGCAGTACAACAGCCACCTGTACCGCACCAGCGTCCAATCCGTGAGAGAGGTGGCTGAACAGGTAAATACACACCTGAGATACACCTGGGCACACCTGGGTACTGCTGGGATACACCTGGGCGGGGCAGTACAACAGCCACCTGTACGGCACCAGCATGCAGTCCGTGCGGGAGGTGGCTGAACAGGTAAATACACACCTGGGCACACCTGAACACACCTGGACGCACCTGGGATACACCTGGGTACACCTGGGCGGGGCAGTACAACAGCCACCTGTACGGCACCAGCGTCCAATCCGTGAGAGAGGTGGCTGAACAGGTGAGACACACACCTGGGCACACCTGGGCACACTTGTGACACACCTGTGTCACCTGCAGGGCAAGCACTGCATCCTGGACATGTCTGGGGGGACATGGGGGGTACCTGTGACACACCTGGGGTACCTGGGTCACACCTTGGTCACACCCGTGACACACCTGGGTCTCACCTGTCACCTACAGGGCAAGCACTGCATGCTGGGGGTTACATGAGAACACCTGGGTGTGGTTTGGGTCACACCTGTGTCACACCTGGTCACACCTGTGTCCCCTGCAGGGCAAGCACTGCATCCTGGACGTGTCTGGTGACACCTGGGGATGGCATGGGGACACCTGGGTGTGATTTGGGTCACACCTGTGCCACACTTGGTCACACCTGTGTCACCTGTGTCCCCTGCAGGGCAAGCACTGCATCCGGGACGGTGTCTGGGTGTACTTGGGTCACACCTGGTCACACCTGGATGTGGTTTGGGTCTCACCTGTGTCACCTGTGTCCCCTGCAGGGCAAGCACTGCATCCGGGACGTGTCTGGGTGTACTTGGGTCACACCTGGATGTGGTTTGGGTCTCACCTGTGTCACCTGTGTCCCCTGCAGGGCAAGCACTGCATCCTGGACGTGTCGGCCAACGCCGTGCGGCGGCTCCAGGCGGCGCAGCTGCACCCGATCGCCATCTTCATCCGGCCCAAATCGCTGCAGAACGTGCTGTGAGTCACCTGGGCACACCTGGGGGCACCTGGCACACCTGGGCACACCTGGGCAGTGATTCTGGGTTCATTTTGGGAGGTTTTGGGGCACACCCATTACCCATCGCCATCTTCATCCGGCCCAAATCGCTGCAGAACGTGCTGTGAGTCACCTGGGCACACCTGGCACACCTGGGCACACACCTGGATACACCTGGGTTACACTTGGCACACACCTGGGCACACCTGGGCAGCCATTCTGGGTGGAATTTGAGGGGTTTTAGGGGCGTGGTTTGTGCACAGAAGGGGAAACTGAGGCAGGAGGGGGCGTGGCCATCCATGATGAGAGCGAGGCCCATTTGCATAATGGGTGGGGTTTCCTAATTGCCAGGCGAGAGGTGGGTGTGGTTTTATGAATGGGCGCGGCCTCTTATGAATGACGCCGTGCTGTGGGAGTGTCTGTGGGAGTTTGTGGGTGTGGCCGGGCGGGGTGGGCGTGTCTCACAGAGGCGTGGGCGTGGCCAGGCGATGTGGGCGTGTCCCAACGCGGCCCCGCCCCCTCAGGGAGATCTCCAAGCGCGTGAGCGAGGAGCAGGCGCGGAAAGCGTTCGACAGAGCCACCAAACTGGAGCAGGAGTTCACCGAGTGCTTCTCAGGTGAGACACACGCCTGGGCACACCTGGGATACACCTGGGGGCACCCAAAATCCCCCTCAAAGACCCCCAAAATTCACCCAAACCTCTCCAAAGTTCCCAAAAACCCCCCAAATTCCCCTTTTCTTTTACCTGCAAGGGTCCCTATTCACTCCAAACCTCCCTAAAATTCCCCAAAATGCCCTTTTTATTAATCTGCAAGGATTTCTAACGGCCCAAACCCCTCCAAACCCTCCCAAAATACCCCAAATTCCCCTAAAATCCCGGTTTTTTTCCACTCCAAAGATCCCTACCCACCCCAAACGCCCCAAAATCCCCAAAAAACCCTCTTTTTTTACATTCCAGAGATCCCTACCCACCCCAAATCCCCCCAAAATCCTCAAAAAATTCCCTTTTTTCTCCACTCCAAATATCCCTTCTCATCCCAACACCCCCCCAAACCTTCCAAAATTCCCCCAAAATGCCCTTTTTTTACCTTCCAAAGATCCCTACCCACCCCAAACCCCCCAAAATTCCCACAAAATCCCCCAAAATCCCCATTTTTTTTTTCTCTCTCCCCAGCCATGGTGGAAGGCGACAGCTTCGAGGAGATTTACCACAAAGTCAAACGAGTCATCGAGGACCTCTCAGGACCTTTCATCTGGGTCCCCGCCCGCGAGCGGCTTTAGGGCCGGGGGGGGGGACCCCCCCAAAAAAATCCCCCCATCCCCCCAAAATCCACAGGAAACCCCCCCCAAAAAAAAAATCCCAAAAAACCAAAAAAACCCCACCAGGACCTGCTGGGAATTCCCAAAGCCTTGGGGGAGGGGTTGGTTGTTTTTATTTAATTTTTTTTTTTTTTTTGGTGTGGATTTTTTGGATTTTTTTTTTTTTTTGGGGGGGACCCTCTCCGGTGGTTTTTGGGGGGTGGGGGGAAAAACGCCCCCCCCCGCCGCCGCCCCAAATTTGGACTCTTCTCATTTTTTTGTACATATTTAAGCTCTATATTTGTAACGCCCCGGGGGGCCCCCGAATCGGCCCCTCCCGGCCTCGAACATTTTTGGGGGGGTGGGGGAGGGGTTTGGGGAGGGGTTTTGGGGTTCCCATGGGCCCCTCCCCCACCCCCCTCCCCCTCCCTCGGCGTGGGAAACAAAAGGAGGGGAGGGGGGGGGAGGGGAGATGAGAGTATTTTGCATAGAAATTATGGAATTGTGGGAATAAAGCGATGGAGACGCCGGAGGTTCGGGATTGGGGGGGGGGGGGGGATGGGAGGGGAATTTGGGGCGGGGGGACCCCCCCCGGATTTAAAATTTCGGGGGAATTTTAGGGATTTTTTGGGTTTGGAATGGTTGTTGTGGGGACAAATGGGGAGTTTGGGGGCTCAGAGGGATTTGGGGGGGGTCCAGGGTGGGATTTGGGGGGTCCTGGAGGGGTCACGGAGGATGGGGACCCACCCAGTGTTGGAATTTGGGGAGATTTTGGGGGTTTTGGGGTCGGAAGGAGGCGTGGGAACGGTCAGGGGAGCGGCAGCCAATCAGGAAGGAGAGTGCTCGATGGAGGCGTGGCCAAGGCGGTTTGAGAATGGCGGGTAGGATTAATGAATGAAGGGCGGGGTTTAGGAACAGAAGGCGGGATTTATGACTGGAGGGCGGGGTTTATTTACGTATTCGGGATTTATGAATGGAGGGCGGGATTTCTTTACGGATTAGGGATTTATGAATGGAGGGCGGGGTTTATGAATGGAGGGCGGAGTTTTCCCACCCCATCACCACCTCAGCACCCCTCCCACCGTAATTAACGCTAATTAGTACTTATAATTAATTTATTACCAAGCAAAAAATCGGGGGGGGGGGGGGAGACCCCCTGGAATGGGGGGACCCCAAATTTATTGGGGATGGGGGAGGGGCGCTCTGGTCACGCCCATTTCGCATTTCTGCCCCTCCCCCTCCTTGGTCCCAGGGGTTTTTTGGGGGGTCCCGGGGAGGAATTTTGGGGTCCCTGAATTTTTGGGGGATCCTGAGAAGATTTTTGGGGGTCCCATAAAAATTTGGGATCATCCCAGGTGAGATTTTGAGGGTCCCAGAGCACGGGAACCACCCCAAAATCCTCTTTTCATCCAAAAAAATCTTAATTTTGGGGTGATTTTGGGCTTTCTGAAAAATTTTGGGGTCCCGGGTAAATTTTAGGGGGGTCCCAAGTGAATTTTTGGGGTCCCAAGAAGATTTTGGGGGGGTCCCATCAAATCTTGCTGCGATTCCAGGTGAGATTTAAGATTCCCAGACCCAAAAATCCCCGTTTTAAACCCCAAAAAATCTCAATTTTGAGGCGATTTTTGGGGGGATTTTGGGGTTTTTTGGGGTGCAGGGAATTTTGGGGTCACTCCTTTTTGGGGTGGGGGTCCCGGGAGCCCCCCAGGAGCAGCACCTGGGCCAGCAGGACCCCGTTGCAGGTGGCCGAGGCCGCGAAGGTCGAGGCCAAGAGGAGATCCCCGGTTTCCTGCAGGGAAATTTGGGGGATTTTGGAAAAATTTGGGAAAATTTTGGGGAAATTTTGGGGGTTCTGGGGGGAGTTTTGGGGAAAATTTGGGGGATTTTGGGGGGCATTTGTGGAATTTTGGGAAACTTAGGGGGTCCTGGAGAGGGATTTGGGGGACTTTGGGGTGGAATTTGGGGGAAAATTTGGGAAAACTTTGGGGAAATTTCGGGGGTTCTGGGGGGAGTTTTGGGGAAAATTTGGGGGGAAAATTTGGGGGATTTTGGGAAATTTGGGGGGAAATCTGGGGGATTTGGGGGAAAATTTGGGGGATTTTGGGGCTTTGGAAAGAATTTGGGGGGTCCTGGAGAGGGGATTTGAGGAGGAATTTGGGGGAAAATTTGGGGGATTTTGGGAAAATTTTGGGGGTTCCTGGAGAAGGATTTGAGGGATTTTAGGGGATTTTAGGGGGAGTTTTGGGATTTTAGAGTGAAATTTGGGTGGAATTTGGGGGATTTTGGAGGAAAATTTGGGGATTTTAGGGTGAATTTGGGGGATTTTGGGGCTTTGGAAAGAATTTGGGGGTCCTGGAGAGGGGATTTGGGGGATTTGAGGAGAAATTTGGGACTTTTAAAAGGATTTTAGGGTGAAATTTGGGGGATTTTTGGGGTCGAATTTGGAGGATTTTAGGGGAATTTTGGGTCGCAAAGGAATTTCTGGGGTTTTAAGGTAAATTTGAGGGTTTAAATTGGAGTTTAGGAGGAATTTGGGGAAAATTTGGGGGGATTTTAAGGAGGATTTAAAAGATTTTGACTTTTAGGGAGTTCTGGGAGAAATTTTGGAGAAATTTGGGGGATTTCGGGGGGTCCTGGAAGGGTTTGGGGGGTTTTAGGATCCAAGATTTTTTTGGGGAGGATTTTTGGGATTTGGGGTTTTTTGGGGAGGGGTCTCACTGTGAGTGGGGTGAATTTGGGGTGAATTTGGGGTGAATTTGAGTAAAAATTTGGGGTTTTTGGTAGGAATTTGGGGGTTTTTGGGGTTCTAAGAGTTGGGATTTTTTTGGGGTATTTTTTGGGATTTCGGGTTTTTTTGGGGAGGGGTCTCACCATAAGGGGGAGAATTTGGGGTGAATTTGAGTAAAAATTTGGGGGGTTTTGGTGGAAATTTGGGGGTTTTTGGGGTTCTGGGTGGGTTTTAAGATCCGGGATTTTTTTGGGGTGTCTTTTGGGATTTTGGGGTTTTTTGGGGAGGGGTCTCACCATAAATGGGGTGAACTGGGGGGGTCCTGAGTAAATTTAGGGCAAATTTGAGTAAAAATTTGGGGTTTTTTGCAGGAATTTGGGGGTTTTTTGGGGTTCTGGGTGGATTTTAAGATCCGGGATTTTTTGGGAGGATTTTTGGGATTTTGGGGGTTTTGGGGAGGGGTCTCACCGTGAGTGGGGAATTTGGGGTGAATTTGAGTAAAAATTTGGGGGTTTTTGGTGGGAATTTGGGTTTTTTTGGGGTTCTGGGTGGGTTTTAAGAGTTGGGATTTTTTTGGGGAGGATTTTTGGGATTTGGGGTTTTTTGGGGAGGGGTCTCACCGTGAAGGGGAAAAATTTGGGGAGCCCTGAGTAAATTTAGGGTGAATTTGGGGCGAATTTGAGTAAAAATTTGGGGGTTTTTTGGTGGGAATTTGGGTTTTTTTGGGGTTCTGGGTGGGTTTTAAGATCCGGGATTTTTTTGGGGTATTTTTTGGGATTTTGGGGGTTTTTGGGGAGGGGTCTCACCGTGAGGGAGGTGAAGATCCGGGCCAGGGCCCCCCCAAACAGGAGCCCGGTGGAGACCCCCGAGAGCTGCCCCGTGTGGCCCTGCCGGGCGTTGGTGACGATCTGGATCAGCTGGGGGGGGGAAATTTTGGGGCATTTTTGGGGGTTCCCAAAAATTTGGGAGCCCCAAAATCCTCCCTGACCAATCAGAGAGGTGAAAAAAATCCCAAAGAATGGGAAAAAAGCAGCAAATTGGCCCAAAATAATCATGAAATCCCAAGAGGATTTGGTGGGGTTTGGGCAAAAAAATTCCAAAATTCTCCCCTAAATCCCCCCCCCCCACCTCCAGGACCCCCCAAATTTCTCTCAAACCTCCAAATCCTCCCAAACTCCTTTAACCCCTCCAAGCTGCCCCAAAATCTCTTCAGGATCCCCCAGAATTCCCCAAAATCCCCCCAGGACCCCTCAAAATCCTCCCCGAAATGCTCCAAAATCTCCCCAAACCCCTTCAGGACCCCCAAAATCCCCCAAATCCTCCCAGGACCCCCAAATCCTCCCCAGACCCCTCCAGGACCCCCCAAAATCTCCTCAAAATCCCCCAAATCCTCCCCAAAATCTCTTTAAACCCCCCCCAAAACCCCTCCAGGACCCCCAAAATCTCCAAAATCCTCCCCAAATCCCCTCAAAATCCCCCAAAACTCCCCCAGGACCCCCAAAGTCCCCCAAATCCTCCCCACACCCTCCCAAATCCTCTCAGAACCCCCAAATCCCTCCAGGACCCCCCAAAATCTCCCCCAAATCCCTTTCAACCTCCCCAAATCCCTCCAGGACCCCCCAAATTTCTCCCAGACCTCCCCAGGGCCCCTCTAAATCCCCCAAATCCTCCCCAAAATACTCCCAGGACCCCCCAAAATCCTTCCAAACCCCCCCAAAATCCCGCAAAAATCCCCAAATCCCTCCAGGACCCCCCAAGAATCTCCCAAAACTGCCCCAAATCCCCTCAAAATCCCCCCAGGACCCCCCAAAACCTCCCCAATATCTCTTTAAACCTCCCCAAACCCCTCCAGGACGCCCCAAAAATCCCCCAAATCCTCCCCAAATCCCCTCAAAATCCCCCAGGACCCCCCAAAATCCTTCCAAACCCCCCTAAAATCCCCCAAAACCCCCCCAGACCCCCCCGACGCCCCTCACCCTGCTGAGGATGATGATGGGCAGGTTCAGGGCCTGCAGGGCGGTGACGAAGCTCAGCGGGGTCAGAGGTGACACCAAAATCCCCAAAAACGCCCCAAAAACGGCCACGAGCGCCAGCCCTGGGGGGGGGAGGGGACACAAAGGGGGTGAAGGATCCCAAAAACCCCCCAAAAAATCCCAAAAAAATCCCCAAAAATCTCCAAATTTCCCCCAAAACTCGGCACCAACCTCGGCCCGTGCGGCCCCCGAAGTGCAGGATGAGGAAGAGGAGGGTGAGGGTCTGCAGGAGGAGGAAGAGCGACTCCCCCCAGGCGCTGTTGGGATTTTGGGGGGTCAGGGAGGGGTCGGGACCCCCCAAAAATGGGGGTGGGGGGGTCCCAAAACCCCCCCCGGGAGGGGAAAAATGGGGAAAATCCCGTGGGAAACGGCTCAAAATGCACCCGAACCACCCCAAAACTCCCCAAATTCCCCCAAAACTCCCCCAGTCTATTCCAAATACCCCAAAATCCCTCCAGGACCCCCCAAAACTCTCCCAAATCCCTCCAGACCTTCCCAGACCCCCCAAATACACCTGAAATCCCCCCAAAGTCTTCCTGAATCCCCCCCAAAATCCCTCCCAGAACCCCAAATCCCCCTAAACCACCCCAAATCCTCCCCAAAGCCCTGAAATGCCCGAAATCCACACCAAACCCCACTTTAAACCCCCAAAACTTCCCCAAACCCCCACAATCCCTCCCAGATACCCAAAAATTTCCTTAAATCCCCCCCCAAAACTTCCCAAAATTTGCTTCAGACCTTCCCAGACTCCCCAAGTCCCAAAAACCCACCCCAAACCCCCATTTGAGCTCCCCGAAATGTCCCCCCAAAATGTCTCCAAACCCCCTCAAATCCACCCCAAATCCCTCCCAGACTTCTCAGAACCCCCCAAAATCCAAAAAAATCCCCAAAAATCCCCAAATTTCCCCCCCTGACCTGAAGGGGAAGCCCCTGGCGCAGCCGTAGCCCACGGAGCCCCCCAGGGCCAGCAGCTCCAGCAGCACCGAGGGGAGGCTGAGCCCCCCCCCACTGCGGGACCCCCAAACCTTCAGCAGCTGGGGCACCTTCACTGAGGGGGGAAAATGGGGTAAAATCCCAAAAAATCCCGAAAATCCAGCTCAAAACCGCTTTAAAATACACCAAAGTATGAAAAAACGGCTTTAAAATACCCCAAAATTCCCCACCAGGGGCCCCCAAACCTTCAGCAGCTGGGGCATCTTCACTGAGGGGGAAAATGGGGTAAAATCCCAAAAAATCCCGAAAATCCAGCTCAAAATACCCCAAACCGCCCTAAAATACCTCAAAACAGCTTCAAAATACCCCAAAATGGCCCCAGAATTCCCCCTCAGGGACCCCCAAACCTTCAGCAGCTGGGGCACCTTCACTGAGGGGGGAAATGGGGTAAAATCCCAAAAAATCCCGAAAATCCACCCCAAAACCGCTTTAAAATACACCAAAGTATGAAAAAACGGCTTTAAAATACCCCAGAATTCCCCCTCAGGGGCCCCCAAACCTTCAGCAGCTGGGGCACCTTCACTGAGGGGAGAAAATGGGGTAAAATCCCAAAAAATCACAAAAATCCACCCCAAAACCGCTTTAAAATACACCAAAGTATGAAAAAACGGCTTTAAAATACCCCAAAATTCCCCACCAGGGGCCCCCAAACCTTCAGCAGCTGGGGCATCTTCACTGAGGGGGGAAAATGGGGTAAAATCCCAAAAAATCACAAAAATCCAGCTCAAAATACCCCCAAACCGCCCTAAAATACCTCAAAACAGCTTCAAAATACCCCAAAATGGCCCCAGAATTCCCCCTCAGGGGCCCCCAAACCTTCAGCAGCTGGGGCACCTTCACTGAGGGGGGAAATGGGGTAAAATCCCAAAAAATCCCGAAAATCCACCCCAAAACCGCTTTAAAATACACCAAAGTATGAAAAAACGGCTTTAAAATACCCCAAAATTCCCCCCCAGGGACCCCCAAACCTTCAGCAGCTGGGGCATCTTCACTGAGGGGAGAAAATGGGGTAAAATCCCAAAAAATCCCGAAAATCCAGCCCAAAATGTGAAAAAACTGCTTAAAATTACCCCAAAATGGCTTAAAAATACCCCAAACTCCCCCCAGGGACCTCCAAATCTTCAGCTGCTGGGGGCGCTTCACTGGGGGGAAGGAATGGGGTTAAAATTTAAAAAAACCCAAAAAATCCACCCCAAAATCGCTTAAAAATACCTCAAAATTATTCTTAAATGTCCCCCCAGGGACCCCCAACCTTCAGTCGATGGGGGACCTTCGCTGGGGGAAGAAATGGCATCAAAATCCAAAAAAAACCCCCAAATTCACCCCGAAACCCCTCAGAAGTACCCCAAAATTACTTCTAAAATGTCTTCATGGTCCCTCAAACCTTCAGTAGCCCAAGGACTTTTATTGGAGGGGCAGAAATGGATCAGGGATGTTCAAAGAAACACCCCAAAATCCACCAAATGAACCCTAAAATAAATTGGGACCCCAAACCCCACAAAATCCTGCCTGGAACCCCCAAAATCTCCGCAGGCCCTCACCCAGGACGGATCCTGCCACGATTCCATAGCCCAGAACTTTGCTCAGGAGGATTTTTAGGCACGGAACTGTGGAGAAAGGAGAAAGGTGAGGTGAAGTGACCCCAAAATTATCAAAAATTTCTCAAAATCCGTCAAAATTCCTCAAAATTTGGATCCCCCACACCCAAAACCAAGATGGCGGCGGCATCGCCTCACAGCCAAATCAAAGATGGCGGCGCACTTGTCCCGCGCCCTAAACCAAGATGGCGGCGCCCCTCACAACTCCCGCCGTAACCAAAATGGCGGCCGCCCCCAAAGTCCTTAAAGGAGCCCAAAATCCTGCTCAAAACCGCCCGAAAAGCCCCGAAAAGCCCCAAAACCGCTCCCCGCGGCCCCTCTGGCACCATCGAGCAGCTGGAAGTGGAGGAAAAATCGGTCGAAGCAGTGCTCGGGCAGCAGGAACGGGACGAGCCAAGGCCGGAGCGGCTCCATGGCGGCTCCCGCGCGGAGGGGAAATCGGTGGGAAACGCCCCTCGCATGTTGTGATTGGCTGAGACGCCAGAAAATCCCGCCTCTCTAAACGCACCCCGTAATTCTATTGGCTAGGATAGCGTAGTTGCCTGTCAATCAAAATCAGCACCAAGTTGTGATTGAGCAACGGTTTATTGCGCAACGCGATTGGTTGTGAGTGGGAGTAAGGCCCCACCCCCCGCTGGTGCGGCGAGCTGTGATTGGTCAGTTTTTTATTAATACGATTTAAGTTTTATATCTCCCCGAATCCCACAGAAATCCCCCAAATTCACCCAAATTTTGTGTCCGGAGCGGTCTGAACCCCCAAAAATTCCTCCCAAATCCTCTCTTTAAAGCCTTAAATGTACATGACGAATACAAATTTGCGGGGTCTTGAGTATTTCGACTTTGGGGGATTCCAGAGGGGTCCAGGCCCCGAGTTTGAGGGACTTTGAGAGATTTGGGGGGTCCAGGGACGTCACTAACTCACTTTAGACGGAGATGTTTGGGGTCCCAGAGAGATTCTGGGGGTCTCAACCCATCCAGAACGAATTTTTGGGCGTCCAACCCCCAAAATTTTGAGATTCCGGAACATCCAAAATGAACCTTTCCCCGTGATTCCCCCGCGCATGCGCAGTGAAGACGCGCGCACCGCCATATTATGGCAAGGCTTCCGTGCTTTCTTATCCTTTTCACGCATGCGCCGTACACACATGGGCGCCGCCATGTTTATCGGCTCTTCCGTACGCCTCCATTCGTGTTGCGCATGCGCAATACACCCATGGGCGCCGCCCATGCGTGCCGGCGCTGCAGTACGCATTCGCCAGGCCGCACACGGAAGCGCTGAACGGGCCCGGACCGGAGCCGGACCCTCCGGGATCCCCCCCCCGGGTAACCCCGGACCGGAGCCGGGACCCCCCCCTTCAGGATCCCCCGGTAATCCGAGACCAGGCCCGGGACCCCCTCTCAGGACCCCTCCCGGTAATCCCGGACCAGGCCCCGGGACCCCCACAGGACCCTCCCGGTAATCCCAGACCAGGCCCGGGACCCCCCCGGTAACCGAGGATTCCCCTCCGGGACCCCCCGTTATCCTCCCGGTATTTCCGGAATATTTCTGGGATTTAAACCCCAAAATTCCCGGATTTTGCGGCCCCCTCAGACCCCTCGTTATCCTCCCGGTATTCCCGTGATTCTGCCATTATTTAATTCCCGTTATCCCCGCAAAATTCCCGAAAATTTCCGGGATTTCCTCGGGATTTAAGGCTCCAAAATCCGTGGGATTTTCTCTCGTCCTTCCCCCCCGGGATTGCCCCAAAATTACCGGAATTTTCTCGGGATTGAACCCTAAAATTCCCCCAATATTCCTCCAAAATTCCCAGAATTTTTCTGGGATTTAACCCCAAAATTCCGCCAATATTTGTCCAAAATTCCCGGATTTTTTCTGGGATTTAACTCCCTTTATCCTGCCAAAATTCCTGAATTTCTGCCAGAATTTCACCCCCAAGATTCCTGAAAATTCCAAAATTCTCCTGGGATTTAACCCCCAGAAATTCCCGGAATTCCCCTCAGGATTTATCACCCCCAGATTCCCCAAAATTCCCGACATTTCCTCGGGATTTAAGGCCCAAAACTCCTGGGATGTAATCCCTCAAAAATTCCAAAAAAATCCCGAAAATTCCCAAAATTCTGCCAGGATTTAACCCCAAAATTCCGGAAATTCCCTCAGGATTTAATCCCTCCATCCCCACCTTTCTCCCCCATATTTTTCCCCATTTTTCCCCCCAGTATTCCTGAAATTCCTTCAGGATTTAACCTCTCAATTCCCAGATATTTTCCCTGCTATTTTCCCATTTTTCCCCTCCTAGTTTTCCCCATTATTTCCCTCTATTTCCCTTTTTTTTTCTTAATATTTTCCCTTTCCCCCCCCCCCCCATTTTTCCCTAATACTTTCCCATTTTTTCTCTCCTATTTTCCACATTTTCCCTCTAGTTTTCCCCATTATTTTTCCTCCTATTTCCTCTAACATTTTTCTCCATTTTTCCTTAATATTTCCGCCTCCAATTTTCCTCCAGTTTCCCCCTAATATTTTCCCCAATTTTCCTCCATTTTTCCCCCTAATATTTCCCCCATTTTCCTCCATTTTCCCCCTAATATTTTCCCCAATTTTTCCCTAATATTTTCTCCAAATTGCCTCCATTTTTTCCCTGTTATTTTCTCCAATTTTCCTCCATTTTTTCCCTAATAATTTCTCCAATTTTCCCCAATTTTCCTCCATTTTCCCCCTAATATTTTCCCTAATTTTCCCCTAATATTTTCCCCAATTTTCTCCACTCTTTCCCTCCTATCCCCCCCATTTTTCCCACATTTACCCCTAGAATTTCCCGCCACATCCCATGGAATCCCAATGCGATTACTCCATGTACTTCCCCGCCGTCCCCTTCCCTCCGCGGGAATTTTTGGCGGGAGAATCCTCCGGTTACCCGCGGCCCTGCCCCCGCCGCAACCACCTGTACCTGGGCGGAGACCGTGCGCTTCCTGCTGGTGCTGCGCAAAAACCCCGCGAACCCCGAGAGAAACCCCGAGAGAAACCCCGAGAGAAACCCCGATAAAAATCCCGATAGAAATCCCGATAGAAATCCCGATACAATCCCTGAGGGAACTCCCGCCAACCCTGACAGAAGCCCCGCCCGCTCAGTCAGTGACCCGCCACTCCGGCCCAAACCCCGCCCGCTCCGGCCCAAACCACGCCCACTCCAGCCAAATCCCCGCCCACTCCGGCCGTGGCCCCGCCCCTTGTGGCGGGAGTTTCCCGGGGCGCGTCGCCGTGGGCGCAGCTCGCCGCGTCGCTCTCGGCGCTCGCCACCGTCACCAGCGGCGACAGCCCGCGCCCGCGATGAGGAGGAGCCGAATCCCGGCCACGACCCGGCGATAACTTCGGCAATTTCGGCAACGCCGAGGATTCCCGGGAGCCGCCGCCGCTGTTCCGGGAGTGCCGCGCGCTCCTCACGCACTCGCGGGCCCCGCGGGCGGCGCCGGCCCGGGGGTGAGCGGCGGAACGTTCTGGAATTTCGGGGTGCTTGCGGGTGGGGAGGTTCTGGTTTTCCTGAGATTTTCCCCTTTTTTCCTTGAATTTTCCCGTTTTTTCCTTGGTTTTTCCTATTTTTTCATTGGTGTTTTCCCATTTTTTTCCCCATTTTTCCTGTGTTTTCCCTGGTTTTCCTTGGATTTTTCCATTCCCCCCATTTTTTCCATTTTCCCACGTTTTCCCATTTTTCCCATTTTTTTTCCCACTTTTCCTACATTTTTCCTGGTTTTCCCCATTTTTTCTTGGGCTTTCCCATTTTTCCTTGGGTTTTCCCTTTTCTTTCTTCGTTTTCCCATTTTTCCTTGGATTTTCCCATTGTTTTCTTGGGTTTTCCCATTTTCTTTGGTTTATCCTGTTTTTCCTTGGGTTTTCCCATTTTTTCCTAGGTTTTTTTCCATTTTTCTCTCCATTTTCCCTCTTTTTTCCACTTTTCCTTGGGTTTTTCCCATTTTTCCCCCCTTTTCTCCCCATTCCCAGCTCCCCATGGATGATCCCATCATCTCTCAGGACGAGCTCATTTCCCCATTGACTTTCCCCATTTTTTCTCCATTTTTTCCCGTTTTTTCCCAATTTCCCCCATTTTTTCCCATTTCCCCCCATTTTTCCCAATTTCCCCGTTTTTTTTCCCCAGCTCCCCGTGGACGATCCCATCATCTCCCAGGACGAGGTGATTTTCCCCCTCACCGTGGCCCTGGACCGGCTCCCGCCCGGCACCGCCAAGGCCAAGGTGGGGACATTGGGGACATTTGGGGCATTTGGGGACACTGGGAATGGGATGGGGAGGGACCTTGGGGACAATTGGGGACACTTTGGGGACAATTTGGGGACACTGGGAATGGGGATGGGGAGGGACCTTGGGGACATTGAGGGCATTGGGGGACATTGGGGACACCCTTGGGGACATGGGGAATGGGATGGAAGGGGACCTTGGGGACATTTGGGGACACTTTGGGGACAATTTGGGGACAGTGGGAATGGGATGGGGAGGGATTTGGGGACAGTTTGGGACGTTTTGGGGACATTGGGGACACCCTGGGGACGCTGGGAGTGGGATGGGCCTTGGGGACAGTGGGAATGGGATGGAGAGGGACTTGGGGACAATTGGGGACATCTTGGGGACATTGGAGACACTTGGGGACATTGGGAATGGAATGGGGAGGGACCTTGGGGACACTGGGGACGCCTTGGGAATGGGAGGAGCCTTGGGGACAATGAGGGGACACTGGGAATGGGAGGGGGAGGGACCTTGGGGACAATGTGGGGACGTATTTGAGACACTTTGGAGTCATTTTGGGGACACTGGGAATGGGACGGGGAGGGACCCTGGGGACACTTTGGTGACCCCTGGTGTCCCCTTGGTGTCCCCAGATCGTGGTGACCGGTGTGGCAGCGGGACACGGAGCCGCCGGAGCTGCAGGAGGGGCCGGGGACAGGGACAGGGCCAGGGCCGGGCCAGGTGACAATGACAGGGACAGGGACGGGGACAGGGACAGGGCAGGTGACAATGACAGGGACAGGGCCGGGGCCAGGGGGGTACCTGAGGCTGCTCCAGGGCCGCGCCCCCGGCCAGGTGTTCCGGCAGCAGCACGGCGCCTTCAAGGCTCAAGGTGAGGTCCCCAGGTGTCCCCAAGTGTCACCTGAGTGTCCCCAAGGTGTCACCTCCCCTCCTCAAGTGTACCCTGGGTGTCCCCAAGGGTCCCCTCCCCAGTGGGTGTCACCCCCAGGTGTCCCCTCAGTGCCACCCCAGGTGTCTCCATGGAGCCTTCAAGGCACAAGGTGAGGTCCCCAAATGTCCCCAAGTGTCACCTGAGTGTCCCCAAGTGTCCCCTGGGTGTCCTTTCCCCTGTGGGTGCCACCCCCAGGTGTCCCCTCAGTGTCCCCTCAGTGCCACCCCAGGTGTTCCGGCAGCAGCACGGCGCCTTCAAGGCTCAAGGTGAGGTCCCCAAGTGTCCCCAAGGTGTCACCTCCCCTCCTCTGGTGTCCCCAAGTGTCCCAAAGCCATCCCATTTCTTCAGGAACCCCCGAGGATTGTCCCCAACCCCGACTTGGGGACGCTTTTGGTGCCACCAAAGTGGGACAAGGCCCCTTGGCCCAGCCTGGTGGCCCTGGCTGGCTGTCCCCAAGTGTCCCCAAGGTCCCCCCAGGTGTCCCCAAGGCCACCCTGGTGACCCCAAGTGTCCCAAACCCCTCAAGGACACCCTAGGATTGTCCCCATTCTTTACTTAGGGACACTTTTGGTGCCACCAAGGTGGGACAAAGCCGCTCAGCCCAGCCTGGTGGTCCTGGCTGGCTGTCCCCATGTGTCCCCTGATTGTCCCCAAGTGTCCCCTGGTGTCCCCACAGTGTCCCCTGATTGTGCCCAAGTGTCCCCTGATTGTCCCCAAGTGTCCCCTGGTGTCCCCACAGTGTCCACGCTGCTGACGGTGCTGCCACCCCCCCGTGTCCGCTGCCGCCAGGTGACCGTGTCCGGAAAGTACCTGACCGTGCTCAAAGGTGACAGCTTGGGGACATCGGGGACATTTGGGGGGGTTGGGGAGAGCTGGGGACATTTGGGGACATCGGGGGGGTTTGGGGGGTTTGGGGACATCGAGGGGTTTGGGGACATTTGGGGGCGTTGGGGACAAAGAGGGTGGGGGAGAAGGGCGGAGGGTCACTCCTGATGACCCCCAGTGTCCCCAATGTCCCCAATCCCCCAAAATGTCCCCGTTGTCCCCAATGTTCTCAGTGCCCTGCATGTCCCCGATGTCCCCAGTGTCTCCAGTGTCCCCAGTGATGTCCCCAGTGATGTCCCCAATGTCCCCAGTGATGTTCCCAATGATGTCCCCAATGACCCCAATGCCCTGGATGTCCCCAGTGTCCCCAGTCCCCAGTGATGTCCCCAATGTCCCCAATGCTGTCCCCAGTGCTCAGTGGCAGCTCCCAGGAGGAGCTGTCCCTCTGGGACGTGCAGGTGTCCCCAATGTCCCCAATGTCCCCAATGTCCCCAATGTCCCCAGTGCTCAATGGCAGCTCCCAGGAGGAGCTGTCCCTCTGGGACGTGCAGGTGTCCCCAATGTCCCCAATGTCCCCAGTGCTCAATGGCAGCTCCCAGGAGGAGCTGTCCCTCTGGGACGTGCAGGTGTCCCCAATGTCCCCAATGTCCCCAATGTCCCCAATGTCCCCAATGTCCCCAGTGCTCAATGGCAGCTCCCAGGAGGAGCTGTCCCTCTGGGACGTGCAGGTGTCCCCAATGTCCCCAATGTCCCCAATGTCCCCACTGTCCCCAGTGCTCAATGGCAGCTCCCAGGAGGAGCTGTCCCTCTGGGACGTGCAGGTGTCCCCAGTGTCCCCAATGTCCCCAATGTCCCCAATGTCCCCAGTGCTCAATGGCAGCTCCCAGGAGGAGCTGTCCCTCTGGGACGTGCAGGTGTCCCCAATGTCCCCAATGTCCCCACTGTCCCCAATGTCCCCAGTGCTCAATGGCAGCTCCCAGGAGGAGCTGTCCCTCTGGGACGTGCAGGTGTCCCCAATGTCCCCAATGTCCCCAATGTCCCCAGTGCTCAATGGCAGCTCCCAGGAGGAGCTGTCCCTCTGGGACGTGCAGGTGTCCCCAATGTCCCCAATGTCCCCAATGTCCCCAATGTCCCCAGTGCTCAATGGCAGCTCCCAGGAGGAGCTGTCCCTCTGGGACGTGCAGGTGTCCCCACTGTCCCCAATGTCCCCAATGTCCCCAGTGCTCAATGGCAGCTCCCAGGAGGAGCTGTCCCTCTGGGACGTGCAGGTGTCCCCAATGTCCCCAATGTCCCCAGTGCTCAATGGCAGCTCCCAGGAGGAGCTGTCCCTCTGGGACGTGCAGGTGTCCCCAATGTCCCCAATGTCCCCAATGTCCCCAATGTCCCCAGTGCTCAATGGCAGCTCCCAGGAGGAGCTGTCCCTCTGGGACGTGCAGGTGTCACCAATGTCCCCAATGTCCCCAATGTCCCCAGTGCTCAATGGCAGCTCCCAGGAGGAGCTGTCCCTCTGGGACGTGCAGGTGTCCCCAATGTCCCCAATGTCCCCAATGTCCCCAGTGCTCAATGGCAGCTCCCAGGAGGAGCTGTCCCTCTGGGACGTGCAGGTGTCCCCAATGTCCCCAATGTCCCCAATGTCCCCAATGTCCCCAATGTCCCCAGTGCTCAATGGCAGCTCCCAGGAGGAGCTGTCCCTCTGGGACGTGCAGGTGTCCCCAATGTCCCCAATGTCCCCAATGTCCCCAGTGCTCAATGGCAGCTCCCAGGAGGAGCTGTCCCTCTGGGACGTGCAGGTGTCCCCAATGTCCCCAATGTCCCCAATGTCCCCAATGTCCCCAGTGCTCAATGGCAGCTCCCAGGAGGAGCTGTCCCTCTGGGACGTGCAGGTGCTGCCCAATTTCAACGCCAGTTACCTGCCCGTGATGCCCGACGGCTCCGTGCTGCTCGTGGACGACGTCTGGTGAGCCTGGGGACACCTTGGGGACACTTGGGGACAATGGGGGGAGAGCTGGGGACAATGTGGGGACGCTTGGGGACACTTTGGGGAGACCTGGGGACAGCTGGGGACAATGTGGGGACACTTGGGGACACTTTGGGGGTACCCGGGAACAGCTGGGGACACTTGGGGACGCCTCGGGGAGAGCTGGGGACATTTGGGACACCTGGGGGACATCTTGTCCAGCTTGGGGGCACCTGGGGACAATGCGGGGGCACCTCAGGGACACTGGGGACACCTGGGGACACTGTGGGGAGAGCTGGGGACGCTTTGGGGAGACCTGGGCGCACTGGGCACACCTTGGGGACAATGTGGGGACACCTTGGGGGACACTGGGGGCACTGGGGGACAATGTGGGGACACCTTGGGGACAGTGTGGGGACACTGGGGACAGCTTTGGGAGACCTGGGGACACTGGGGACCATTTGGGGACACGTCGGGGACAATGTGGGGACAGCTGGGGACACTGTGGGGACCTTGGGGACAATGCTGTGACCTTGGGGATGCCAGGAGGACCTTGGGCACAACGTGGAGACCTTGGGGACACTGTGGGGACCTTGGGGACAATGCTGTGACCTTGGGGACAATGTGGGGACCTTGAGGACAATGGGGAGAGCTTGGGGACAACGTGGAGACCTTGGGGACACTGTGGGGACCTTGAGGACACTGTGGGGACCTTGGGGACAATGTGGGGACCATGGGGACAATGTGGGGACCGTGGGGACAAGGCTGTGACCTTGGAGACAATGGGGAGAGCTTGGGGACAATGTGGGGACCATGGGGACAATGTGGAGGCCCTGAGGACAATGCTGTGACCTTGGGGACAATGTGGGGACCTTGGAGATGTCACGAGGACCTCAGGAATGGGAGAGAACTTCGGGGACACCATGAGGACCTCGGGGACGTGACCTGTCCCCGCTGTGCCCTGATTGTCCCCGCTGTCCCCGCAGCCACCACTCCGGGGAGGTGCCCGTGGGCGCGTTCTGCCGCGTCCCCGGGTGCCACTCGCGGTGGCCGTGTCCCCTGAGCGCCCTGGAGGAGCAGAACTTCCTGTTCCAGCTGCAGGCGCCCGAGCGGCCGCCCCGCGACGCCAAGGAGGTGAGGGGACACCTGGGGACACCTGGGTGGCCTTGGGGACACCTGGGGACACTTGGGGACATCGATCGAGAGCCACCAGGCTCAGCCAAAGGGACTTGTCCTGCCTTGACGGCACCAAAAGTGTCCCCAAGTTGAGTTTGGAGACAGTGGGGTGGCCTTAAGGACACTGGGAGGGCCTTGGGGACACTGGAAGGGCCCTGGGGACACTTGGGGACAACCATGAAGGGCCACCAGGCTGGGCCAAGGGGCTTTGTCCCACTTTGGTGGCACCAAAAGTGTCTCCAGGTTGAGTTTCTGGGGTTACCAATGGGGTTGGGGACACTTGGGGACAACCGTCGAGGGCCACCAGGCTCAGCCAAAGGGACTTGTCCTGTCTTGGTAGCACCAAAAGTGTCCCCAAGTTGAGTTTGGGGACAATTCTTGGGGGGATCTGGGGGTTGGGGACACCTGGGTGGCCTTGGGGACAACAATCGAGGGCCACCAACCCCATCCAAGCCCCCCAAGATGCCACCAACCCCCCCCGACGGTGCTGTCCCCGGCCTTGGTGACAATCCCCGTTGTCCCCGGTGGCCTTGGGGACGTTGGGGACGCGGAGGTGACACCGCGGTGACAGCGATGTCCCCAAGCAGGGCCTGGAGGTGCCGCTGGTGGCCGTGGTGCGGTGGTCGACGCCGAAGCTGCCGTTCACCAACAGCATCGTCACCCACTACCGGTGAGTGTCACCTGCTGTCACCTCGGCGTCACCTCGGTGTCCCCAGGGCTCCAGAACCTCCTGGGGTGCCACCACCTCGGTGTCACCTCGGTGTCACCTCCTTGTCCCCGTGTCCCACCATCCTCAGAACGTTCTTTGGCTCCTTTCTGGACTTTCGCACGATGCCACCTCAATGTCCCCATGATGTCCCCAAGCTCTCCAGACCCTCCTGGTGTCCCCTGCAAGTGCCACCACCTCCTGTCCCATCACTGTCACCTCATTGTGCCCATGTCCCTCCATTCTGACCTTTTGGGGCTCCTTCAGTGGTGTCCCCATGATGCCACCACCATGTCCCCAGTGTCCCCATGACGTCCCCAAGATCTCCAGACCCTCCTGGCTTTTTCTCCATGTGCCACCACCTCCTGTCCCCTCATTGTCCCCTCATTGTCACCTCATTGTGCCCATGTCCCTCCATCCTCAGACCTTCTGGGGCTCCTTCAGCTGTGTCCCCGTGATGCCACCACCATGTCCCATCATTGTCCCCTCATTGTCCCAATGCCACCACATCCCCAGAGCTCTCCCTAGCTCCTTCAGAGGTGTCCCCGTGATGCCACCACCATGTCCCCAATGTCCCCATGATGTCCCCAAACTTTCCAGATCCTCCTGCCTTCTTCTACATGTGCCACCACTTCTTGTCCCATCAATGTCACCTCATTGTCCCCATGTCCCTCCATTCTGACCTTTGGGGCTCCTTCAGTGGTGTCCCCATGATGCCACCACCATGTCCCCTCATTGTCCCCTCATTGTCCCAGTGCCACCACATCCCCAGAGCTCTCTGGGTCTTCTCTGGGGCTGTCCCCATGATGCCACCTCGATGTCCCCAGTGTCCCCAATGTCCCCTCAGGCTGCCGAGCATCCGCCTGGAGCGGCCGCGCTTCGTCATGACGGCCACGTGCGAGTCGCCCGTGGTGGCCCTGCAGCGCTTCACGGTCACCTACACCCTGCTCAACGACCTGCAGGACTTCCTGGCCGTGCGGCTGGTGTGGACCCCCGAGGCCACCGCCGGTGGGGACACTGGGGACATTGGGGGAACTGGGGACAGCAGGGACATCGGGGACATCAGGGGTATCGGGGACATTGGGAACATTGGGGATGTTGGGGACATTGGGGACATTGGGGACCTGCGGGACTTCCTGGCCGTGCGGCTGGTGTGGACCCCCGAGGCCACCGCCGGTGGGGACACTGGGGACGTTGGGGACAGCAGGGACATCGGGGACATCAGGGGTATCGGGGACGTTGGGGACAGCAGGGGTATCGGGGACATTGGGAACATTGGGGATGTTGGGGACAATGGGGACATTGGGGACCTGCAGGACTTCCTGGCCGTGCGGCTGGTGTGGGCCCCCGAGGCCACCGCCGGTGGGGACACTGGGGACATTGGGGGAACTGGGGACACTGGGGACACCTGGGGACACTGGGGACACTGGGGAAATTGGGGACATTGGGGACCTGCGGGACTTCCTGGCCGTGCGGCTGGTGTGGACCCCTGAGGCCACCGCCGGTGGGGACACTGGGGACATTGGGGGGATTGGGGACATTGAGGGGATTGGGGACATTGGGGGATTGAGGATGTTGGGGACATTGGGGATGTTGGGAGGATTGGGGACATTCGGGGACATCGGGGACCTGCAGGACTTCCTGGCTGTCATCCTGGTCTGGACACCCGAGGCCACCACCGGTGGGGACACTGGGGGTTTGGGGACATTAGTGGGGACTGCAAAAAATGGTCAAAAAAAAAAGTTGAAATATCCCAAAAAATGCTCTAAGAATCCCCCAAAAAGGGCTAAAAAATCCCCCCAAAATTCCCCAAAAAAATCCCAAAAGAGCCCCAAAAATTCCTTCAAATCCCAGAACCCAAAACCCCCAAAAAAGCTCCAAAAAAAACCCTTGAAATACCCCAAAAAACGCTCTAAAAATCCCAAAAAAAAGGCCAAAAAATAAAAAAAAATCCCCCCAAAAAATCCCAAAAATTCCCCAAAAAATCCCAGAACGTTCCCAAAAGTCCCTGGAACGTTCTGGAATTGCAGGTAAGTCCCGCGGCTCCCTGGACTCCGTGGTTTGCCACACGCCCCTGACCAACCTGGGCTACTCCCGCAAGGGCAGCGCCAGAACCTTCCGCGTGGCCTTCCAGGCGCTGCGGGCCGGGCTCTTCGAGGTCAGTGCCACCCCCTGTGCCACCTGTGCCACCTTCTGTGTCACCTGTGTCCCCTGTGTCACCCTCAGTGCCACCAGTGCCGCCCCTGTCCCCGTTATCCCCATCGTTTTCCCATTCCCAGTGTTCCCAGTATCCCCAGTATCCCCCAGTTCCAGGCGCTGCGGGCCGGGCTCTTCGAGGTCAGTGCCACCCCCTGTGCCACCTTCTGTGTCACCTGTGTCCCCTGTGTCACCCTCAGTGCCACCAGTGCCGCCCCTGTCCCCGTTATCCCATTCCCAGTATCCCCAGTGTCCCCGTTCCAGGCGCTGCGGGCCGGGCTCTTCGAGGTCAGTGCCACCCTCAGTGCCACCTGTGTCACCCTCGGTGTCACCTGTGTCCCCTCAGTGCCACCCTCTGTATCACCTCTGTCACCGCAGTGCCACCCCTGTCCCCGTTATCCCCATCGTTTTCCCATTCCCAGTGTTCCCAGTATCCCCAGTATCCCCCAGTTCCAGGCGCTGCGGGCCGGGCTCTTCGAGGTCAGTGCCACCCATTGGTGTCACCTGTGTGACCTGTGCCACCCCCAGTGTCACCTCTGTCACCCCCATCCCCGTTATCCCCATCATTATCCCGTTCCCAGTGTTCCCACTATGCCCAGAACTCTCTCCCAGTAACTCCCAGTCTCTCCCAGTGCCCCTAAAACCCCAGCCCAGTACATCCCAGTGCCTCCCAGTCTATCCCAGTACATCCCAGTGCCCCCAAACTCCCTCCCAGTAGCTCCCAGTACATTCCAGTGCCCCCCAAAACTCCTTCCTGCTCAGTGCCGGTAACTCCCAGTGCCCCAAACACTCCCTCCCAGTGCCTCCCAGTGCCCATAAACCCCATCCCAGTAACTCCCAGTGCCCTCCCAGTACATCCCAGTGCCCCCAAAACTCCTTCCTGCTCAGTGCCGGTAACTCCCAGTGCCCCAAAAACTCCTTCCCAGTGCCCCCAAAGGTCCCTTCCAGTAACTCCCAGTTGCTCCCAGTTGCTCCCAGTGACTCTCAGTCTCTCCCACTCCCTCCCAGTGCCCTCCCAGTGTCTCCAAATCCCCTCCCAGTGCCCCAAAGCTCCCTCCCAGTCCCTCCCAATGCCCCAAAGCTCCCCCAGAGCTCCCTCGCAACGGCTCCCAGTCTCTCCCAGTGCCTCCCAGTCTCTCCCAGTCTCTCCCAGTGCCTCCCAGTCCCTCCCAGTGCCCTCCCAGTCCCTCCCAGTAACTCCCAGTGCGTCCCAGCTGTCGCAGCACATGAAGCTGAAGCTGCAGTTCACGGCCAGCGTGAGCAGCGCCCCGCCCGAGGCGCGCCCCGTGTCCCGCAAGAGCAGCCCCAGCTCCCCGGCCGTGCGCGAGCTCGTGGCCGGGCTCGGCCGCTCCCAGTCCTTCTCCCACCAGCAGCCGGCGCGGAGCCACCTCATGAGGTACTGGGAGCACTGGGAGCGGCTGGGAGGGGCTGGGATGACAATTCGGGGGGACTGGGAGGGATTGGGAGGTACTGGGATAAGGTTTTGGGGCACTGGGACACGCTGGGATAAAGTTTGGGGGCATTGGGAAGGACTGGGAGAGGATTTTGGGGCACTGGGAGGGGATTGGGGAGGACTGGGAGGCACTGGGAGGCACTGGGATTAGGTTTGGGGGCATTGGGAAGGACTGGGATAAGGATTTGGGGCACTGGGATGGGGTTTTGGGGCACTGGGAGGGACTGGGAGAGACTGGGATTAGGTTTGGGGGCATTGGGAGGGGCTGGGAGTGGATTTTGGGGCACTGGGAGGGACTGGGGGGACTGGGATGGGACTGGGATGGGACTGGGAGTTACTGGGAGAAGATTGGGAGGGACTGGGATGAGGATTTGGGGGCACTGGGAAGGAATGGGGGGACTGGGAGCACTGGGAGGGACTGGGGGGGACATTGAGGGTGCTGGGAGGGACTGGGATGTGACAAAGGGACACTGAGGGGTGACACAGGGAGCTGCCACCATTGCCCTGGGTGACGCAGGGACACTGCAGGTGACCAGAGAGTGGCACAGGTGACACTGAGGTGACACTGAGGTGACACTGATGTCACTGTCCCCAGGTCCGGCAGCGTGATGGAGCGCAGGGCCATCACCCCGGGGTGACACAGGGACACTGGGGCTGTGACAGGGACACTGTAGGTGACACAGGTGACACTGAGGTGACACAGAGGTGACACTGATGTCACTGTCCCCAGGTCCGGCAGCGTGATGGAGCGCAGGGCCATCATCCCAGGGTGACACAGGGACACTGGGGCTGTGACAGGGACACTGTAGGTGACACAGGTGACACTGAGGTGACACAGAGGTGACACTGATGTCACTGTCCCCAGGTCCGGCAGCGTGATGGAGCGCAGGGCCATCATCCCAGGGTGACACAGGGACACTGGGGCTGTGACAGGGATGCTGTAACTGACGCAGGGACACTGTAGGTGACACAGGTGACACTGTAGGTGACACAGGTGACACTGAGGTGACAGCAGTGTCACTGTCCCCAGGTCCGGCAGCGTGATGGAGCGCAGGGCCATCACCCCCCCGGTGGGGTCCCCCGTGGGCCGCCCCCTGTACCTGCCCGCGGGTGACAAAGCCGTGCTGGCCCTGGACAAGATCGCCAAGAGGGAGTGCAAGGTGCTCGTGGTGCCACCCGTCAAGTGACAGCGGGGACAATGGGGGGACAGCGGGGGGACAACGTGGGGACAGTGTGGGGACAGTCTGGGGATGATGGGGACAGTGTGGGACAGTGAGGGGACAATGGGGACAGTGTGGGGACTCAGGGACAGCATGGGGATAATGGGGGGATAGCGAGGGGACAACGAGGGGACAGCGTGGGGACAATGGGGAGACAGTGTGGGACAATGAGGGGACAGTGAGGGGACAGTGGGGGACAGTGTGGGGACTCAGGGACAGCATGGGGACATCAGGGGGACAGTGGGGGGATAGCGAGGGGACAACGTGGGGACATTGACAGGACAGCGAGGGGACAATGGGGACAACGGGGGGGACATCAACAGGACAGCGAGGGGACAGTGGGGACAGTGCTGGGACGCTGGGGACATCTTGGGGACATCACTGGGACAGCAGTGGGGTGGCACAGACAACGCTGGGACGCTGTGGGGACAGCTTGGGGACAGTTTGGGGACATTGCAGGGACACCAATGGGACAGCTGGGATGGCACTGGGGACAGCGAGGGGACAATGCAGGGACCTTGGGGACATTGTGGGGACATTGCCAGAGTGTCAGGGACAGCTCTGGGACAATGGGGACAGGGCCACCCCCGGTGTCCCCAGAGCCTCAGGGCCACCCCCAGGACATTGGGGACATTGGGGACATTGGGGACAGGGACCAAGGGGACAATGCCACCCCCAGTGCCACCTTGAGGACAATGGGGACAATGGGGACAGGGCCACCCTGATGTCCCCACTGTGCCAGGGACAGGGACCAAGGGGACAGAGCCACCCCCAGCTTGGGGACACTTTGGGGACACTGGGGACAATGGGGGGGAGGTCGCTGCCACGTGCCATGGAGGGGACCCTGGGGACACTTTGGGGACACCTTGGGGACACAGCCTGGAGCCGTGCCCGCGTTTGGGATTTTGGGGACATTTGGGGACATCGGGGAAGTGTCCCCGAGCCAAAGCGGGGGAGGGGACGGGAGGGGCCTGCAGTGCCACCCCCGGGTTGGGGACATTGGGGACAAGGGTGGCACCTGTGTCCCTGTTATTTATTGCCAATAAAGAGACCTGGATGTCACCTGGTGTCACCTGGATGTCACCAAGGGTGACCTGGATGTCACCAAGGGGCCCTGGATGTCACTTAATGTCACCTGGATGCCACCTGGAGGATCTGGATGTCCCCAAGGGTGGCCTGGATGCCACCAGAGGTGGCCTGGATGTCCCCTGGTGTCACCTGGAGGGTCTGGATGTCCCCCGATGCCACCCGGGTGTCCCCAGGGAGGTCACAAAGCCACCAAAGCCGCCCTCGGACGCCGTTTATTGTCCCCACGGGGGGGATCTGGGGACACTTTGGGGACAGCAGGAGGGGGGACGGGGCGGCGGTGCCACCTCCTCCTCCTCTGGGGACGCTCTGGGGACACTGTGGGGACGCTCTGGGGACATTTCTCACACGGCCACCGGCTCCTGCACGTGGTGGTGGCGCTTGACCACGAAGAGTTTCTGTCCCGAGACGGTGACGAGGAGGGAGTGCTCGCCAAACACCACTGGGGACAACGGGGACAACGGGGACAATGGGGACAGGGCCACCCTCGGTGTCCCCAATGTCCCCAGAGCCACCCCCATGTCCCCAGGGCCACCAGGGACAGTGACAATGACAGGGAGTGCTCGCCAAACACCACTGGGGACAACGGGGACAACGGGGACAATGGGGACAGGGCCACCCTCGGTGTCCCCAATGTCCCCAGAGCCACCCCCATGTCCCCAGGGCCACCAGGGACAGTGACAATGACAGGGAGTGCTCGCCAAACACCACTGGGGACAACGGGGACAACGGGGACAATGGGGACAGGGCCACCCTCGGTGTCCCCAATGTCCCCAGAGCCACCCCCATGTCCCCAGGGCCACCAGGGACAGTGACAATGACAGGGAGTGCTCGCCAAACACCACTGGGGACAACGGGGACAACGGGGACAATGGGGACAGGGCCACCCTCGGTGTCCCCAATGTCCCCAGAGCCACCCCCATGTCCCCAGGGCCACCAGGGACAGTGACAATGACAGGGAGTGCTCGCCAAACACCACTGGGGACAACGGGGACAACGGGGACAGGGCCACCCCCAGGGTCCCCAGTGCCACCCCCAATGTCCCCGGTGTCCCCAGGGCCATCAGTGACAGTGACAATGACAGGGAGCGCTCGCCAAACGCCACCGGGGACAACGGGGACAGGGCCACCCCCAGCGGGGACATTTGGGGACATTCTGGGTCCTTTGGGAACACTTGGGGCCATTTAGGAGCATTCTGGGGACACTTGGTGACATTCGGAGCCTTTCAGGGGACATTTGGGGACATTTTGGGGCCCTTTGGGACCATTCTGGGGCTATCTGGGACCACCCTGGGGCCATTTTGTGTCACTTCGGGGCCATTTTGTGTCACTTTGGGGCCACTTTGGTGCAATTTAGGACCATTTTGGGGCAATTTAGGGCCATTAAGGGCCATTTAGGGCCATTAAGGGCCATTTAGGGGCCATTTTAGGACCACTTAGGGCCATTAAGGGCCATTTTGGGGCCATTTAGGGCCATTTTGGGGCCATTAAGGGCCATTTAGGGCCATTTAGGGCCATTTTGGGGCCATTAAGGGCCATTTAGAGCCATTTAGGGCCATTTTGGGGCCATTTTAGGACCATTTAGGAGCCATTAAGGGCCATTAGGAGCCATTTAGGGCCATTTTGGGGCCATTTTAGGACCATTTTGGGGCCATTTAGGGCCATTTTGGGGCCATTTTAGGACCATTTTGGGGCCATTAAGGGCCATTTAGGGGCCATTAAGGGCCATTTTGGGGCCATTTAGGGCCATTTAGGGCCATTAAGGGCCGTTAAGGGCCATTTTAGGACCATTTTGGGGCCATTTAGGGGCCATTAAGGGCCATTTAGGACCACTTAGGGCCATTAAGGGCCATTTTGGGGCAATTTAGGGCCATTTTGGGGCAATTTAGGGCCATTTTGGGGCCGTTAAGGGCCATTTAGGGCCATTTTGGGGCCATTTTAGGACCATTTTGGGGCCATTTAGGGGCCATTTAGGGCCATTTTGGGGCCATTTAGGGCCATTAAGGGCCATTAAGGGCCATTTAGGGCCATTTAGGGCCATTTAGGGGCCATTTAGGGCCATTTAGGGCCATTAAAGGCCATTTAGGGCCATTTTGGGGCCATTTAGGGCCATTAAGGGCCATTAAGGGCCATTTTGGGGCCATTTTAGGACCATTTTGGGGCCATTTAGGGGCCATTTAGGGCCATTTTGGGGCCATTTTAGGACCATTTTGGGGCCATTTAGGGGCCATTTAGGGCCATTTAGAGCCATTAAGGCCATTAAGGGCCATTTAGGGGCCATTTTAGGACCATTTTGGGGCCATTTAGGGGCCATTTAGGGCCATTTAGGGGCCATTAGGGCCATTTTGGGGCCATTTTAGGGGCATTTTGGGGCCATTTATGGCCATTTTGGGGCCATTTGGAGCTATTGAGGGATATTTTGGAGCCATTTAGGGCCATTTTTTGGATAATTCAGAGCCATTTGGGGGCCGTTCCTCACCCGAGAGGTGGTGGAAGGGCGGCTCGTGGCCATGGGGCCATTGGGGGGACATTTTTGGGGACATTTGGGGACATTTTGGGTTCATTTCTCACCCGAGAGGCAGCAGAAGGGCGGCTCACGGCAATAGAGCCATTTTGGGGCAGTTTTGGGGACATTTGGGGACATTTTGGGATCATTTCTCACCCGAGAGGCGGCGGAAGGGCGGCTCGTGGCAATGGGGCCATTTTGGGGCAGTTTTGGGGTAATTTTGGGCGGTTTTGGGGCCGTTTCTCACCCGAGAGGCGGCGGAAGGGCGGCTCGTGGCCGCGGGGCAGGCGCAGCCCCAGGGCCGTGGCCACCAGGCCCTGCAGCACCGTGGCCGTGTGCTCGTCGTTCTCCAGGTCCCCCGAGGACTGGGGAGAGAAAATTCCACATTTGGGGAACCCCAAAATGTTGGGAATTCTCAGGGAGAAGCCTCAAAAAAATTGGAGGAGCCCAGAGGGGCAAAAATGAAAAAAAAAAAAATTGCAATAAAACCACTCCAAAAACCACCTGGGAACTCCCAATCTTCAGGGACCCCTCCCCAGTTTTTTTCCCCATTTTTTTTTTGGTGTCCCTTCCCCAATTTTTGGATCCCACTCCCTCTAATTTTTAGGGACCCCCTCCCCCAAATTTTTGGATTCCACTCCCCCCATTTTTAGGGACCCCCTCCCCAATTTTCCCCTTATTTTTTTGAATCTCCCTACCCCCAATTTTTAGGGATCCCTTCCTCCAATTTTCTCCTCCCACATCCCCAATTTTTGGATCCCCTTCCCTCCAATTTTTGGGTTCCATTCCCCCCAGTTTTTAGGGACCCTTCCCCAGATTTTTCCCCCATTTTTTTGGGATCCCCTTGCCCGTTTTTAAGGACCGTTCCCCAATTTTTCCCCCCATTTTTTGGACCCCCTCCTTCCCCAGTTTTTGGGGACCCCTCCCCAAATTTTGGGGCCCCCTCACCGCCAGCACGGCGCCGTCGCTGATGACGAGGTACCCGGCCTGGGCCGGCACCCGCTCCAGCCCCTGCGTCAGCGCCGCCGTCTGCAGCACAAACCAGTATGAACCAGTACGGACCAGTATAAACCAGTACGGACCAGTATAAACCAGTACGGACCAGTATGAACCAGTACGGACCAGTATGAACCAGTACAAAGCAATATAAACCAGTATAAACCAATACAGAGCGCCACAGGTCACCATAAACCAGTACGGGCTGGTTTGGGCCAGTGACGTCACAGAAGGGACCCCCACCAGTGACCCTCAGGATCTGCTCCAGTACAAACCAGTATTAAACCAGTATAAACCAGTATAAAGGGACACGGGCCGGTGGCATCCCGGTAAACACCACTAACGCCCAGAGCCTCCCCCCGGTGACCCCTCAGGGTCCCCCCAGTCCCTCCCAGTTCTCTCCCAGTCTCTCCCAGTTCCCCAGCCCAGCTCTCACCATAGCGACGCTCTCGCTTCCTGTTCCGGTCACGTGACCCTGCCCTCAGTGCCCGCCCCTCCTCCTTATTGGTTCAGAGCTTCCTTCGTCACCAACGCGCCCGCCAATCACAGCAAGGTCAAGGATCACGTGGTAAAACTCAATGGTTCAGCGAACCGGAAGTGACGCTCAGTCCTCCAGCGCGGTCATCTCTACTGTTTCCTCCATTAAACCGGAAGTTCTGCTCATTCCTCCACCGCCCCTCTCTATGGTTTTTCCGCAGACCCGGAAGTGACGCTCGGTCCTCCAGCGCCGTCTCTATCGTCCCTCAGTCCACCAGCCCCGCCCCCGCGCTCCCAAAATGCCCAAATTTGGGCAAAACGGCCCAAAAGGGCTTCAAAAAATGGGAATTCCCCTCCCCCCCGCCATTGCCATGATGGGCACAAGGCCAGAGGTGAGCACTCCATGGTGGCCACGCCCATTCCCACAGGAGCCAGGCCCACCCCACCAGGGGCCCAACCACAGCTCCTGGTGGCCACCAGCCCCAGGTGATTACAGCCACGGTAGCCACGAACACCCATAACATAGCCACGCCCACCCTTATTGTAGGCACGCCCATCCCTACATTAACCACGCCCTCCCCATGTTAGCCCTGCCCATCCCCATGATTCTCATTCCCGCAGTAGACACGCCCATCTCCACGTTAACCACGCCCATTCTCACGGTTCGAATCCCCAGTAGCCACGCCCACCCTTACAGTAACCACACCCACCCCCCATGTGAGCCACACCCACTCTGGAAGTAGCCACGCCCACCCCCATGTTAACCACACCTGTTCCCACGGTAGCCACGCCCATCCACACAGCAACCACACCCATCCTGACAGCCACGCCCAGCCCACGTTAACCACGCCCATATTTATGCTAACCACGCCCATCCCCACATTACCACACCCACTCCATTATCCATGCCCATCCCACTGTTGCCACGCCCACGCCCACAGCAGCCACACCCACCCCATGGTAGCCACGCCCATCCCACATTAACCACGCCCCTTTCCCGGTGGGCGTGGCCACGGCACAGGCGGGGGGCGTGGCCAGGGCCGTTTCCGGGGTTTATTCGTTCGCTGCCGTCCAATCACGAGCCCGGCGGGGGGAGGGGGGAGGGGCGGGAGCGCCCCGCCCCCCGCCCCGCCCCTCCCCCCCATAAATCCATATTTATAGAATTCCGTATTTATAGCCCCGCCCCCTCCCCGCGCGCGGCCCCTCCCCCACCCCGCCGGGCTCGGGGGGGGGGATGGGGGGGGGAATGGGGGGGTGGGGGAGGGGCCCCCCCAGGCCCCGCCCCCCCTCAGTCGTCGATGCAGATCACCTCCCCCCCCCGCGGCTCCTTGCGCTGCTGCTGCTCCAGCGCCTCCGCCTCGCGCTTCACCAGCACCGCGGGGCCGTTCGAGGCTGCAGGGGGGGAAATGGGGGGTGAGAGACCCCCAGGGACCCCCAGAGACACCCACCCACCCATGGGACCCCCACCCACCCATAGGAACCACCCCCCATCAATGGGAGCCCCTCGTGCTTCACCAGCACCGCGGGGCCGTTCGAGGCTGGGGAGGGGCGTGGGGGGGTCAGGGGGCACCTCGAGACATCAGGGGCCCCAGAGCCCCCCCCCAGTGTCCCCAGTGTCCCCTCACCGGAGATGAAGGACCCTGGTGGCATCTGGCTGTAGTTGGCCCCCCCAGGGTCAATGTCCCCTGTGTCCCCACTGTCCCCAGTGTCCCCAATGTCCCCAGTGTCCCCACTGTCCCCAGTGTCCCCAGTGTCCCCATTCTCACCGGAGATGAAGGACCCTGGTGGCATCTGGCTGTAGTTGGCGCCCCCGGGGTGGGGGAGGGCTCCGGCCGGGGGTGTCCCGAAGGTGCCCCCGTAGCTCGGGGGGGTGGCGTAGGGACCCGGCGGGAAGCTCTGGGGACAGGGACACGGGGTCACCTCCGGGGTCACCTCCTGGGGTCATCCCCCAATGTCACCTCCCTCTGTCACCTCCAGGGGTCACTGCCCGGGGTCACTGCCCAGGGTCACCTCCAGTGTCACCTCCTGGTGCCACCTGCCATGGGGGCAGGGGACATTCCCAGACAGGGTGGCAGTGTGACAGGGGCACAGGGTGGCAGTGTGGCAGGGTGACAGGGTGACAGGGTGGCAGTGTCCCCATGTCCCCAGCGGTCACTCACGGGCAGGGGGTGGCTCTCGGTGCCCTTGCTGGCCAGGCGGCTGAGGATGCCATGGTGCCAATGTCCCCGGGGCAGGGTGGCAGTGTGACAGGGGCACAGGGTGGCAGTGCGGCAGTGTGGCAGGGTGACAGGGTGGCAGTGTCCCCATGTCCCCAGCGGTCACTCACGGGCGGGGGGTGGCTCTCGGTGCCCTTGCTGGCCAGGCGGCTGAGGATGCCATGGTGCCAATGTCCCCGGGGCAGGGTGGCAGTGTGACAGGGGCACAGGGTGGCAGTGTGACAGGGGCACAGGGTGACAGGGGCACAGTGTGACAATGTCCCCATGTCCCCAGCGGTCACTCACGGGCGGGGGGTGGCTCTCGGTGCCCTTGCTGGCCAGGCAGCTGAGGATGCCATGGTGCCAATGTCCCCGGGGCAGGGTGGCAGTGTGACAGGGGCACAGGGTGGCAGTGTGACAGGGGCACAGGGTGACAGGGGCACAGTGTGACAATGTCCCCATGTCCCCAGCGGTCACTCACGGGCGGGGGGTGGCTCTCGGTGCCCTTGCTGGCCAGGCGGCTGAGGATGCTGCGCTCGCTCATCTGCAGGCGCGCGGCGATGGGGGGGATGCGGGACAGCGTGGCCGGCAGGCGCGTCACGTCCGCCTTCATGTCGCTCAGCAGCTCCTCCAGCTGGTTCAGCACTGCCCGCGGGCACAGAGAGAGAGAAACAGCCCCGTCAGCACCGCGGGGCCTGCTCGGAGCTTGCCCACAGCTTACTCATAGGTTACTCACAGCTTACTCGCAGCTTACTCACAGCTTACTCACATATTATTCGTGGGGAGGGGGTGGGCGGGAGATACTCACGTGAGAGTGGGAGGTAGGGAGAGGGAAGGGGAGGAGGTGGGAGCTACTCAGGGGGTACTCAAGAGTTTACGCAGGGTTGTAATTGGGTGGGGGAGGGGGGCATGCGCAGGGGGAGGGGGTGTGAGTAGGGTGGGGGTACTCTGGGGATACTCCTGACTTGCTCTGGGGATACTCCTGACTTACTCTAGGGATAATCCTGACTTACTCGAAGGTACTCCTCACTTACTCTGGGGATATTCCTCTCGTACTCTGGGTTTATTCCTTATTCTAGGTGGATGCCTGGCTTACTCAGGGTTTACTCCTGATTTACCTCGCCCACAGCGGAGATACCCCAGCTGTGCTCCTTACTCTGGGTATCTCCTTGAGGTACTCTGGAGATACTCCAGGGTTACTCCTGCTTTACTACGGGCCTGCACACACAGGGCTACTCTGTGCCTACTCTGTGGTTACTCCTCAGACACACTGGAGGTGATTCCAGGTCTGCTCTGGAGTTACTCTGGGGATATTCCTGGCATTAAATACACCAGGGATACTCTGGGTTTACTCAGCTCATTCCTCCGGGCTTTACTCATTAATTACACCAGGGATACTCCGCGCTTACACCGGGGTGCTCCAGCGCATGCAAACACCGGCGCTACTCCAGCCTTACTCCCAGCATGCACCGCGGGGATACTCCGGGGTTACTCCGCCCAAACAGCCCCGGGCGAGGAGGGAGGAGGGAGGGAGGGAAGGGACCAAGGCGTAAACTACTCCAGAGATACACACAGGACGGCACTAGGGACATACTCCAGCTTTACACCACAGCTACTCAGCAGAGCCACCTCAGCGCCAAGCCACGACCCCTCCATGCGCCTCCCGCCTTACGCTGACTTTTCCTGGACTTCAGTCCAGATTTACTTGGACTCTATTCTGCCTTTACATGGACCTAGACTTCAGTCTGAATTTACACAGACTTTACTCTGCCTTTATGTTAACTTTAGCCCAAGTTTACTTGGACTTTACTCCCCTTTACACTGACTTTACTTTGACTTCAGTCTGACTGAGACTTTAGTCCCAATTTACTTGGACTTTAGTTCCAATTTACTCAGACTTTACTCTGAATTTACTCAGATTTTACATTGCCTTTACTTGGATTTTAGTCCAACTTCACCCAGACTTTACTCCGCCTTTACACTGGCTTTACTTGGACTTTAGTCTGAATTTAGTCAGACTTTACGCCACCCTTACGATAACTTTAGTCTGAACTTACTCTGACTTTATTCTGAATTTACTCTGAATTTGCCTTTATGCTGACTTTAATCCGAATTTACTCAGGCTTTGGTCCGACCTTACTGCAACTTCATTACAACTTTACTGCAGCTTTACCATGACATTACTACGACTGTAATATGACATTACTCCAACTTTACTACCGCTTTACTCCAACTTTACTACGACTTTACTCACACTTTACTACGACTTTACTCCACCTCCGCGCCCGTGCCCGGCGTCGCGGCGCAGCCCCCCCCGCCCAGAAAGCACACGCAGAGCAAGGAGACACCGGGAGGCGGCGTTGGGTGGGAGCAAACCCCTCTTTAATGGCGTCACAGGCGCGTACAGAGCTCGGGGCGGGCGCTACACGGGCCGAGCCCCGCGCCGGGCGCGCCGGCCCTGCTGCCGCCCCTTACCCTTGTGCAGCACGGCGTTGGCCGGCTTGTTGCCCGCCAGCGACTCCTTGGACAAGTGCTGGTGGCTCTCGGCCAGGCACTCGACCTCGGCGAAGCGCGTGTTGAGCGCCATGGCGGGGTGGCTGGGGTCCTGCGTCATGTTCAGGTAGGCGGCGCGGCGCAGCTGCTCCTCGATCACCAGCGCCTGCTCCAGCAGCTGCCGGGGGGAGAGGAGGGGTCAGGGGGTGTGGGTGGGTCCAAGATCAACCCCATCAACAGCTGGAGGGTTCAGGTGTGGGTGGGTCCAAGATCAACCCCATCAACAGCTGGAGGGGCCGGGTGTGGGTGGGTTTAGCCCAACCCCATCAACAGCTGGAGGGTTCAGGTGTGGGTGGGTCCAAGATCAACCCCATCAACAGCTGGAGGGTTCAGGTGTGGGTGGGTCCAAGATCAACCCCATCAACAGCTGGAGGGTTCAGGTGTGGGTGGGTTTAGCCCAACCCCATCAACAGCTGGAGGGGCCGGGTGTGGGTGGGTTTAGCCCAACCCCATCAACAGCTGGAGGGTTCAGGTGTGGGTGGGTCCAAGATCAACCCCATCAACAGCTGGAGGGGCCAGGTGTGGGTGGGTCCAAGATCAACCCCATCAACAGCTGGAGGGTTCAGGTGTGGGTGGGTTTAGCCCAACCCCATCAACAGCTGGAGGGGCCGGGTGTTGGTGGGTTTAGCCCAACCCCATCAACAGCTGGAGGGTTCAGGTGTGGGTGGGTTTAGCCCAACACCATCAACAGCTGGAGGGTTCAGGTGTGGGTGGGTTTAGCCCAACACCATCAACAGCTGGAGGGTTCAGGTGTGGGTGGGTTTAGCCCAACACCATCAACAGCTGGAGGGTTCAGGTGTTGGTGGGTCTAATCTTGACCCCATCAACAGCTGGAGGGGCCAGGTGTGGGTGGGTTCAACCCTGATTTCATCAATATCTGGGGGCTTCAGGTGTTGTGGCTCTAATCCTGGTTTCATCAACAGCTAGGGGTTCAGGTGTTGGTGGGTCCAAGCCCAACCCCATCAACAGCTGGAGGGTTCAGGTGTGGGTGGGTCCAGCCCTGACCCCATCAACAGCTGGAGAGTTCAGCCCTGACTTCATCAACAGATGGGGGGTCCAGGTGTGGGTGGGTCCAGCCCTGACCTCATCAACACCTGGAGATTTCAGGTGTTTGTGGATCTAATCCTGAGTTCATCAACATCTGGAGGATCCAGGTGTTGGGTCAAGGTTTGAGGAAACCCAACAGATGGAGAGCCCAGGTGTTGGTGGGTTCTGACCTGACTTCATCAACAGTCGGAGGGCTCAGGTGTTGGTGGGTCTAATCCTGATTTCATCAACATCTGGAAGATCCAGGTGTTGGTGGGTCCAGCCCTGACCTCATCAACATCTGGACAACACAGATGTCCAGGTGCCCAGCCTTGACCTCACCCAACACCTGGAGCACCCAGCTGTCCAACCCTGACCTCATCCAACACCTGCAGGACCCACTCAGATGTCCGAGCACCCAACCCTGACCTCACCCAACACCTGGAGAGTTCAGGTGTCCAACCCTGACCTCACCCAACACCTGGAGCACCCAGCTGTCCAACCCTGACCTCACCCAACACCTGCAGACCCCACCCAGGTGTCCGAGCACCCCTGGCCCCCTCCCCGCTCATCCCAGCCCCTCGTGCAAGGCCACCCCAGTGCCACCCTCGCTGCCACCCAGTGCCACCCAGTGCCACCCTCCCAGTGCCACCCTCGCTGTCACCCCCGTGCCACCCCAGTGCCACCCTCCCAGTGCCACCCTCGCTGTCACCCCCGTGCCACCCCAGTGCCACCCTCCCAGTGCCCCCGGTGTCCCCGGGGTGCTGACCTTGAAGCGGCGCGCCAGGAACTTGTTCTTCATCTCCAGGAAGTTCCCCTTGGAGGCCTCGCCCTTGAAGGGTTCGTTGATGACCCCGAAGGCGCCGTCGTTCTGGATGTCGGTCCAGCGCGCGTAGCCGTGGCTGCGCGCTAAGGATGCCACCTGTGCCACCTGTGTCACCTGTGTCACCTGTCACCCTGTCACCGTGGCACTGTGCCACCCTGTCACCAACATCCCCCGTTCACAGCACACGGAGCCGTGGCTGCGCGCTAAGGATGCCACCTGTGCCACCTGTGTCACCTGTGTCACCTTGGCACCGTGGCACTGTGCCACCCTGTCCCCAACATCCCCCATTCACAGCACACGGAGCCGTGGCTGCGCGCTAAGGATGCCACCTGTGTCACCTGTGTCACCTATCACTGTGTCACCTCTGTCACCTGTGTCACCTCTGTCACCTGTGTCACCTTGTCACCACGGCACCGTGCCACCCTGTCACTGCATCATCACATCCCCCATTCACAGCACACGGAGCCGTGGCTGCGTGCTAAGGATGCCACCTGTGTCACCTGTGTCACCTGTCACACTGTGTCACCCTGTCACTGCATCATCACATCTCCCTGTCCCCAACATCCCCCACACAGAGCACGTGGAGCCGTGGCTGCGTGCTAAGGATGCCACCTGTGTCACCTGTGCCACCCTGTCATTGTGTCACCTGTCACCATGTCACCTGTGCCACCCTGTCACCAACATCCCCCATTCACAGCACACGGAGCCGTGGCTGCGCGCTAAGGATGCCACCTGTGTCACCTGTGTCACCTGTCACTGTGTGGCTGTGTCACCTGTGTCACCCAATCACTGCATCATCACATCTCCCTGTCACCAACATCCCCACATCCAGCACACCAAGCATGGATGCCACCCTCTCCTGGCTGTCACCCTCACCACAGTGTCACTGTCCCCAGCCCGGGGACACCCCAATCCCCATGGTGACACCCCTGTGACACCCAAGGATACAGGACGATGCCAGCCAGCAGCCAGTATCATGTCACCAGTGCCACCCTCACCGCGCTGTCACTGTCACTGTCACTGTGCTGTCACCCTCACCGTGCTGTCCCCCACAGCACAGTGTCACTGTCCCCAGCCCGGTGACACCCCAATCCCCACGGTGACACCCCCGGTGACACCCAAGGATACAGGACGATGCCAGCCAGCAGCCAGTATCATGTCACCAGTGCCACCCTCACCGCGCTGTCACTGTCACTGTCACTGTGCTGTCACCCTCACCGTGCTGTCCCCCACAGCACAGTGTCACTGTCCCCAGCCCGGTGACACCCCAATCCCCACGGTGACACCCCCGGTGACACCCAAGGATACAGGACGATGCCAGCCAGCAGCCAGTATCATGTCACCAGTGCCACCCTCACCGCGCTGTCACTGTCACTGTCACTGTGCTGTCACCCTCACCGTGCTGTCCCCCACAGCACAGTGTCACTGTCCCCAGCCCGGTGACACCCCAATCCCCACGGTGACACCCCCGGTGACACCCAAGGATACAGGACGATGCCAGCCAGCAGCCAGTAGTCGTGGCGCCGGTGCCAGATCTCGTTGAGCTTGCCCGAGGAGATGGCGGCGCGCTCCTCGTTCTGCCACAGCGTGTGCAGCTCTGCGGGGGCACAGCGGGTCAGGGCTGTCCCCGGGGTGTCCCCAATGTCCCCAGGGTGTCCCCAATGTCCCCAGGGTGTCCCCCGCTCACCCGTGAAGCCGCCGTCGGCGATGTTGAACATGAACCGCGGCTTCTCGGCCTTGTCCTCGCGGCGCCCGTTGGGCCGCGCCTCCGCCCGCGGCTCCCGCTCCGCCTTGGGCTCCTCTGCGGGGAGGGGGAAATTTGGGGGGTCAGGGGGGCGTTTGGGGGGGTCAGGGAGTCATCCGAGGGGGTCAGGGGGGCATTTACGGGGTCAGGGATGGGTTTGGGGGCTCAGGGTCTTGTTTGGGGGCTCAGGGGGGCATTTGAGGGGGTTAGGGACACGTTTGGGGGGTCATGGGAGCATTTGGGGGGTCAGGGATGGGTTTGGGGAGTCAAGGACACATTAGGGGGATCAGGAATGTGTTTGGGGGGGTCAGGGACACATTTAGGGGGTCAGGAACAAATTTGGGGGGTCAGGGACAAATTTGGGGGGGTGAGGGGGACGTTTGGGGGAGTCAGGGACTTGTTTGGGGGAGTCAGGGATGGGTTTGAGTGGGTCAGGAATGGGTTTGGGGGGTCATGGACACGTTTGGGGGGTCAGGGGGGCGTTTGGGGGATCAGGGATTCGTTTGTGGGGGACAGAGAAATGTCTGGAGGGGTCAGGGACTTGGTTGGGGGGGTCAGGGACACATTTGGGGAATCAGGGACACATTTGGGGGGCTTGGGGACACACTTGACCCCCCCCCTTGGGCCCCCCAAAACCTCCTCAGTTCCCCTGAACCCCCCCAGCGCCAGCAATAAATGAGGGGTGGGTTAAGCCCTGCTCACTCTGGGTTAGGCCACACCCCCTTCCGCCAAGCCCCGCCCAATCTGTCTTAGGATACGCCCCCTTCGTTAAGCCCTGCCCATTCTGGGTCAGACCACGCCCCTTTCCCTTCAAGCCCCGCCCATCCCAGCCTAAGCCCCGCCCCCGTTACCTCTTTTGGGGTCGGGGTCCCCCGGGCGCTCCTTGGGCTCCTCCTCCGGGGCCTTCTCGTCGCCCTTGTCCAGCCCCGGAGCCTTCTCGGCATCGGCGCCTGAGCCACGACGGGTTTGGGGTTGGAATTTGGGGTTTTGGGGGCGGTTTGGGGCTTTTCCTGGGATTTGGGGTTTTCCAGGAATTTGGCGGTTCTGGGCTTTTCGGGTTTTTTGGGGTCTTCCAGGGATATGGGGTTTCCAGGATTTGGGGTTTCTGGGATTTGGAGTTTTTGGGATTTTGGGTTTGTGGGATTTGGGGTTTTCCAGGGATTTGGGGTTTTTGGGGTTTTCCAGGGATTTGGGGTTTTCGGGTTTTTTGGTATTTGAGGTTTTTGCTGGTTTGGGATTTTGGGATTTGGGGTTTTTGCTGGTTTGGGATTTGGGGGTTTTGGGATGTGGAGTTTTCCAGGGATTTGGGATTTTTGGGATTTGGAGTTCTGGGATTTGGGATTTTGGGGGTTTTGGGATTTGGGGTTTTGGGGAGTTTGGGATTTCAGGATTTGGGGTTTTTGGGGTTTTGGGGTTTTTGGGATTTGGGGTTTTCCAGGCGTTTGAGGTTTTTGGGATTTGGGCTTTTCGGGATTTGAGGTTTCTGGGACTTGGTGTTTCCAGGATTTGGGGTTTCTGGGATTTGGGGTTTTTCAGGTTTCTGGGAGTTGGGGTTCCCAGGATTTGGGGGTTTTGGGGTTCCCAGAATTTGGGGGTTTTGGGGTATCCAGGATTTGGGGTTTTCAGGATTCAGGGTTTTTGGGGTTTCCCGGGGGTCTCACCTGGCCGCTCCTCGCGGGCCGGGGGCCCTTCGGCCTCGGGGTCCCTGTGGCCGGGTCCCTCCTCCTCCTCCCCCTTGCGGGGCCCTTCGGCCTCGCTGCCATCGCCCGGTGACGGTGGCACCTCAGGGACAGGGGGCTGCGGGGACAGGAGGGGCTGTCACCCTCGGGGTCCCCATCCATGGGGACATCACCCCCCACTCTGAGAGTGACAGGGACAGGGGACACGGGGACAGGGACAGGAGGGTGGGGACAGCGCTGGGGACAAGGATGGGGACAGCCAGGACACAGCTGGGGACAGAGAGGACACAGAGGGGACAGGGTTGGGAACAAGGACAGGGTTGGGGACAGCGAGGACACATCTGGGGACAGAGATGGGACAGAGTTGGGGACAAGGAGAACGTGACTGGGACAGGGAGGACGTGGTAGGGACAGGGACAGGGTTGGGGACTGGGACTGGGTTGGGGACAGGGACTGGGTTGGGGACAGGGACAGGGTTGGGGACAGGGACATGGTGGGGACAGGGACTGGGTTGGGGACAGGGACTGGGTTGGGGACAGCTGTGTCACTCACATCTGTCTCCATCTTCTCGGGGCCTTTGGGTTCCTTCTCGTCCCTGGTGTCACCCTCGTCCCTGTCCGGGGGTGGCCCTGGCCCGTCCCCGCGCTCGCTGGGCGCCGGCGTGGCTGGGGACAGGGGACGTCAGCACATCGGTCCCCATCCTGTCCCCATCCCTGTCCCTAGCCGTGTCCCTGTGTCCCCACCCCGTCCCCATGTCCCCATCCGTGTCCCCATGTCCCCATCTGTGTCCCCATGTCCCCAGCATGTTCCTAGCCATGTCCCCTGTGTGTCCCCATGCCCCCATCCTTGTCCCCACCCCTGTCCCCATTGTGTCCCCATCCCTGTCCCCACCCCTGTCCCCATGTCCCCCATTGTGCCCCCATCCCTGTCCCCATCCCTGTCCCTGTGTTCCCATCCCTGTCCCCATGTCCCCATCCTTGTCCCCATCCCTGTCCCCATGTCCCCCCCATTGTGTCCCCATCCCCATCCCTGTCCCCACCCACGTCCCCACCCCTGTCCCCATGTCCCCACCCCTGTCCACGTCCCCCATTGTGTCCCCATCCCTGTCCCCATCCTTGTCCCCATCCCTGTCCCCATTGTGTCCCCATCCCTGTCCCCACCCCTGTCCCCATGTCCCCGTGGTGTCCCCCCGTGTCCCCCCGTGTCTGTTACCGGGCGTGGGGGGCGCGGGGCTGGGGGGGCCGCTCTGCTCGGGGCTGGGGGGGCCGGTCTTGGCGGGGGAGGAGGCGCGGGACGAGCGCTTGGAGTCGGCGCTGGGCTCGGGGGCCAGCTCGGGCAGGGACCAGCGCCCGTTGATGTGCTCGAACTCCTGCACCTGGGGAGAGGACATGGAGGGGTCAAAAACCCCAAAAACCCTGAAAATCCACCCCAAAAACCCCAAAAATCCACCCCAAAAACCCCAAAAATCCACCCCAAAAACCCCAAAAATCCACCCCAAAAACCCCAAAAATTCACCCCAAAAACCCCGAAAATCCACCCCAAAAACCCCAAAAATCCACCCCTAAAACATCCCCAGGGCCAGCTCGGGCAGGGACCAGCGCCCGTTGATGTGCTCGAACTCCTGCACCTGCACAGGGAACACGGAGAGGTCAGGGAACCCCAAAAACCCCAAAAATCCACCCCTAAAACATCCCCAGGGCCAGCTCGGGCAGGGACCAGCGCCCGTTGATGTGCTCGAACTCCTGCACCTGGAGAGAGGACATGGAGGGGTCAGGGGAGCACAAAAACCCCCAAAACCCCCAAAAAGGGACCCTAAAAGCTCCCCAAACAAGCAGCTTGGTGGAACTCCAAAAACCAACCCAGGTGAGTCCCCAGGTCGGTCCCCAGGCTGCACCCAGGGCTGTCCCCCAGGTGTCCTTGGCTGCCCCAGCCTGTCCCCAGGTGTCCCCAGGTGCTCAGCCTGTCCCCAGGTGTGTCCCCAGGTGTGTCCCCAGGTGTCCCCAGGTGTGTCCCCAGGTGTCCCCGTACCTTTTTCTTGACGAGGGACATGACTCCGATGCGGGTCAGCACCTGCTGCCGGCTCAGCCCCTCCCTGGGGACGCCGTCCGCGAACGTCTCGGAGCCGTCGGCGCCCGGCTCGCACAGGTGGCGCATGAACAGGGACACGTAGGCCCTGGGGACAAGGGACAGTGACAATGGGGACAGGGACAGCATGAACAGGGACACGTAGGCTCTGGGGACAGTGACAATGGGGACAGGGACAGCATGAACAGGGACACGTAGGCCCTGGGGACAAGGAACAGTGACAATGGGGACAGGGACAGCATGAACAGGGACACGTAGGCCCTGGGGACAAGGAACAGTGACAATGGGGACAGGGACAATGAACAGGGACACGTAGGCCCTGGGGACAGTGACAATGAACAGGGACAATGAACAGGGACACGTAGGCCCTGGGGACAGTGACAATGAACAGGGACAATGAACAGGGACACGTAGGCCCTGGGGACAGTGACAATGGGGACAGGGACAGCATGAACAGGGACACGTAGGCCCTGGGGACAAGGGACAATGGGGACAATGAACAGGGACACGAAGGCCCTGGGGACAGTGACAATGAACAGGGACAATGAACAGGGACACGTAGGCCCTGGGGACAGTGACAATGAACAGGGACAATGAACAGGGACACGTAGGCCCTGGGGACAGTGACAATGGGGACAGGGACAGCATGAACAGGGACACGTAGGCCCTGGGGACAAGGGACAATGGGGACAATGAACAGGGACACGAAGGCCCTGGGGACAGTGACAATGAACAGGGACAATGAACAGGGACACGTAGGCCCTGGGGACAGTGACAATGAACAGGGACAATGAACAGGGACACGTAGGCCCTGGGGACAGTGACAATGGGGACAGGGACAGCATGAACAGGGACACGTAGGCCCTGGGGACAAGGGACAATGGGGACAGGGACAGCATGAACAGGGACACGTAGGCCCTGGGGACAGTGACAATGAACAGGGACAATGAACAGGGACACGAAGGCCCTGGGGACAGTGACAATGGGGACAGGGACAGCATGAACAGGGACACGTAGGCCCTGGGGACAAGGGACAATGGGGACAATGAACAGGGACACGTAGGCCCTGGGGACAGCGCTCAGGGCCACTGCTGGGCCACCACCCCCTGGGCCACCACCCCTGCCTATGTCACTGCCTGAGCCACTGCCACCACCTGTGCCACTGTCCCATGCACCCGCATGCCCTGCCCCAAGGTCACTGTCCCCACAGATCCTATCCCCAGGGTCCCTTGTCCCCATAGGTCACATCCCCAGGGTCCTTGTCCTCAAGGTCCCTTGTCCCCATGGATCCTGTCCCCGATATCCCTGCTGTCCCCGCTGTCCCCAATATCCCTGCTGTCCCCAATGTCCCTGATGTCCCTAGTGCCCCTAAAGTCCCCAACGTCCCCAATGTCCCCACCGCTCCCAATGTCCCCAATGTCCCCACCACCCATAATGTCCCCAATGTCCCCAATGTCCCCGCTGTCCCCGCGCCATCAGCCCGTCCCCTCGTCACGGCGCCCGTGGGGCTGTGCCGGGGTCACACTGGGGACCAGGGACCTGCCACCGCTCTGGCGTCCCCTGGGCCACACCCCGGCCCCCCGAGGGGACACGGGGACATCGGGGGTGGCTTTGTGTCGGCCTGAGGGGGACACGGCCTCGTCCGGGCCCCAGGAACACCGACAGCGACAGCGCTCGGCTGAGTAAGGGCTCATCATGTGGCACGGGGACACTGGGGACATTGGGGACACTGGGGGACATTGGGGACATTGGGGACACTTGGGACACTGGGGGACATGGGACAACGGGGGGACACCAGGGGACACAGACATGGGGGGACACTGGGGGACGTGGGACAATGGAGGGCACAGGGACATTGGGGACATTGGGGACATCAGGGCACATCAGGGGACACAGGACAATGGAGGGCATCAGGGGACACTGAGGACATTGGGGACATTGGGGACACTTGGGACACTGGGGGACATGGGACAACGGGGGGACACCAGGGGACACAGACATGGGGGGACACTGGGGGACGTGGGACAATGGAGGGCACAGGGACATTGGGGACATTGGGGACATCAGGGCACATCAGGGGACACAGGACAATGGAGGGCATAGAGCCACACAGGAAGATGGGGGGGGACATGGGGACAATAAGGACGTGGGGATGAAAGGACACAGAGGACATGGGGACACATGGACACCTCACTACCCTGCCACCACCTACCCCAGCGCCATCACCTGGTGTCAACCCTTGTCCCTGATGCCACCACCTGTCCCCAGTGCCACCACCCGTCCTTGATGCCACCACCCGTCCCTGATGCCACCACCTGTCCCCAGTGCCACCACCCGTCCTTGATGCCACCACCCGTCCCTGATGCCACCACCTGTCCCCAGTGCCACCACCCGTCCTTGATGCCACCACCCGTCCCTGATGCCACCGCCTGTCCCTGATGCCACCACCCATCCTTGGCACCACCATGTCCCCATAGACCCCGTGGCCTCCCCAGTGCCACCACCCCTCCCCGGTGTCCCCAGCTGTCCCCAGCTGTCCCCGTTGTCACCTACTTGAACTCCTTCTCGGTTTTGCCCCGCAGGTCCCTCACGAGCCACTGGGACGTGAAGGCGTCCTGGGGCGGCATCCCCCAGCGCATGACGGCGTTGAGGAAAGCCTTGCGCTGCCTCGTGTTGAACCCCAGCACCTGGGGACACATTGGGGACATTGGGGACACTGGGGACATTGGGGACATTGGGGACAATGGGGACATCGGGGACATTGGGGACAATGGGGACAGTGCCATCATCCCCCAGCGCATGACGGCGTTGAGGAAAGCCTTGCGCTGCCTCGTGTTGAACCCCAGCACCTGGGGACACATTGGGGACATTGGGGACACTGGGGACAATGGGGACATCAGGGACATTGAGGACATGGGTGACAGGGGACACTGTGCCATCATTACATGACAGCGTTGAGGAAAGCCTTGCGCTGCCTCGTGTTGAACCCCAGCAGCTGGGGGGACAATGGGGACATTGGGGACAATGGGGACAATGGGGGCATCAGGGACATTGGGGACATCGGGGACATTGGGGACAGGGGACAATGGGGACATCGGGGACATCGGGGACAATGGGGACAGTGCCATCATCCCCCAGCGCATGACGGCGTTGAGGAAAGCCTTGCGCTGCCTCGTGTTGAACCCCAGCACCTGGGGGGACAATGGGGACATTGGGGACACTGGGGACAATGGGGACATCGGGGGTCATGGGGACATCAGGGACATTGGGGACATCAAGGGGATATTGGGGGCATTGGGGACAGTGGGGACATTGGGGGGACATCAGGGGCATTGGGGACATTGGCTCCAGGTTACCCCTGACCCTCTGATTTGGGGACCCAGGTGCTGCGGGGTCACTCAGGCGTCCGAGCCCCACGTGGAGGTGACCCAGGTGCGTCCCCGGGACGTCCCAGGGGTGTCCCCAGGGCCATCCCCATTGTCCCCAGTGTCCCCTCACCTCGATGTTGCCGCCCACGCGGGCCAGCAGTGGGGGGAGGGGTTTGTCCTTCTCGTTCCGCAGCTGCCGCTTGGACTGACGCCGGCCTGGGGGAGGGGAGGGGTCAGCACCCCCCAATGGCACCCTGACCCCCCCTTGGGGACACCCTGATACCCCAATGGCACCCTGACCCCCCCTTGGGGACACCCTGATACCCCAATGGGACCCTGACCCCCCTTGGGGACACCCTGATACCCCAATGGGACCCTGACCCCCCTTGGGGACACCCTGACCCCCCCAATGGCACCCTGACCCCCCCTTGGGGACACCCTGACCTCACCCTGAGGACACCCTGACCCCCCCAATGGCACCCTGATCCCCCCCCCAATGGAACCCTGGCCCCACCTGGGGACACCTTGACCCCCCCCAATGGCACCCTGACCCCCCCTTGGGGACACCCTGATACCCCAATGGGACCCTGACCCCCCTTGGGGACACCCTGATACCCCAATGGGACCCTGACCCCCCTTGGGGACACCCTGACCCCCCCAATGGCACCCTGACCCCCCTTGGGGACACCTTGACCCCCCCCAATGGCACCCTGACCCCCTCAATGGGACCCTGACTCCCCTGTGGGGACACCCTGACCCCTCCTTGGGGACACCTTGACCCCCCCCCAATGGCACGCTCATCCCCCTTGGGGACACCCTGGCCCCCCCATGGCACCTTGACCCCCCCCCAATGGCACCCTGATCCCCACTGGGGACACACTGACCCCCTTGGTGATACCCTGACCCCTTTGGTGACACCCAAAACCCCTTTGGGGACACCTTGATCCCCCCTTTGGGGACACTGAGACACCCTTGGGGACACTGTGACCCCCCCGGGGTCCCTCACCCTCGGGCCGCTCGTCAAAGTCCTCGTCCTCCTCCTCGGAGCCCACCGAGTACTCGGACTGGTTATCTGGGGACACGGTGGGGACACTCAGTGACACCCCAGCGTGTCCCAGTCCCTCCCAGTGCCATCCCAGTGCCACCCAGTGCCACCCCAGCGTGTCCCAGTGACACCCAGTCCCTCCCAGTCCCTCCCAGTGCCCACCTTGGTCCTCCTGGGCGGCGGCGTTGTACTTGCCCTGCTTGTGCACGCGCTTGCCCTTGCCCAGGTTCCATCCCAGTCCATCCCAGTCCCTCCCAGTGCCATCCCAGTATATCCCAGTCCATCCCAGTCCCTCCCAGTGCCATCCCAGTATACCCCAGTCCCTCCCAGTGCCCACCTTGGTCCTCCTGGGCGGCGTCGTTGTAGTTGACCTGCTTGCGCACGCGCTTGCCCTTGCCCAGGTTCCATCCCAGTCCCTCCCAGTGCCATCCCAGTGTATCCCGGTCCATCCCAGTGCCATCCCAGTATACCCCAGTCCATCCCAGTGCCCACCTTGGTCCTCCTGGGCGGCGTCGTTGTAGTTGACCTGCTTGCGCACGCGCTTGCCCTTGCCCAGGTTGCGGGCCAGGTCCTCCTGCTGCTGCTCGTAGTGGTGCCTCAGCAGCTTCTCCCAATAGTCGGGGTCCACGTTCTCCTCCTGCTTGATGATCTCCCGCTCGATCTCCTCGATCTGCCGGACACGCGGGGTCACTCGGGGTCACCCAGGGTCACCCAGGGGTCAGTGCCATCTTGGTCAGTGCTGGGGACGGTGTGCCCAGCACTGGTGTCCCTGTCCTTGGTGTCTCCAGCATCATCATCATCATCATCATCTCCATCATCATCCCCATCTCCATTGTCCCATCATCTTCATCTCCACTGTTGCCATCATCTCCATCCTCTCCAGAGTCCCCAACTCCATCATCTCATTGTCCCCATCCCACTGTCACCAGTCCTTTTGTCCTCAATCCCACTGTCTCCCCATTGTCCCCAATCCTACTGTCCCCATCCCACTGTCCCCATCTCATTGCCCCCAATCCCCTGTATCCATCCCATTGTCCCCATCCCACTGTCCCCAATCCCATTGTCCCCATCCCATTGTCCCCATCTCATTGTCTCTATCCCACTGTCCCCAGTCCCAGTGTCCCCCCAGTGTCCCCAGTGTCCCCAGCACACCTTGTCCTCCTCCCTGACGACGCACTGGGCCACCTTGAAGGAGCTCAGGTACCCATCCATCCCATCCATCCCCATGTCCCTCCATGTCCCCTCGTGTCCCCATTGTCCCCCAGTGTCCCCATTGTCCCCAGCACACCTTGTCCTCCTCCCTGACGACGTACTGGGCCACCTTGAAGGAGCTCAGGTACTCGTTCATGTTCTGCACGTCGGCGTCGTCGGTGGCGTCCTGGTTGCGGTCCAGCAGCCGTGCGATGGCCTCGTTGTCGTAGTGGATGACGCTGCTGTCCTCCTCCTTGTTGTCCCCTGCGCGTGGCCACGCCGCGTCACACACGCTGGGACACGGCTGGACACGGCCACGTGTGCTGGGACACGGCCGGACGCGCTCCAAGGTGATGTGACACGGTTTTGTCACATCCCAAGATGGCCTTACATGGCCCAATGTGGCTTTGTCGCACCCCAACTTGGCCCAACACGGCCCAGTCCATCCCAACATGGCCCAGTCCAACCCAACATGGTCCAAAACACGGCCCAGCTCAACCCAACGCAGCTCAGCCCAACCCAACATGGCTCACTCAGCCCAGCACAGCCCAGTTCAACTCAACGTGGCCCAACATGACCCAGTCCAACCCAGCATAACCCAGTCCAACCCAACATGACCCAGTTCAACCCAGCATAACCCAGTCCAACCCAACATGACCCATGCCATCCCATCCCATCCCATCCGCCCCATCCTGTCCCTATCCCTGTCCCCATTCCACTCCTCAGTCCTTGTCCCCAGCCCTGTTTCTGTTTCTGTCCCATCCCATCCTGGCCCACCCCCTGTCCTTGTCCCTGTCCCCATCCCTGTCCCCATCCTGTCCTGGTTTCTGTCCCCTCTATCCCATCCCATCCCACCCCATCCCATGGATCCCACCCCATCCCGTCCCATTCCATAAATCCCACCCCACTGATCCCATCCCATGGATCCCATCCCATCCCAGATGTTCCTCACCCATCCCAGAGGTTTTTCTCCATCCCACCCCATCCCATGGATCCCATTCCATGGATCCCACCCCATGGATCCCATCCCATGGATCCCATCCCATCCCAGATGTTCCTCACCCATCCCAGAGGTTTCTCTCCATCCCACCCCATGGATCCCATCCCATCCTATGGATCCCATCCCACCCCACCCCACCCCATGGATCCCACCCCATGGACCCCACCCCATGGATCCCATCTCCCCCACGCCATGCCCACCCTCGTTCTCGTCCTTGAAGAGCTCCTCGGTGCCGAACTTGAGGATGTCGTCGAGCTCCTGCTTGGACATGGAGCCGGCCTTGGAGCCCAGCCCAGGGCGCACCACCAGGTGCGTCAGCATCATCTTGCGCTTGGCCACCTGCGTGATCCGCTCCTCCACCGAGGCCCGCGTCACGAAGCGGTAAATCATCACCTTGTTGGCCTGGCCGATGCGGTGCGCGCGGCTGAACGCCTGCGGGGACAGGGACGTGGTGGGGACATGGTGGGGACAGCGTGGGGACACACCAGGGGCATGACAGATGGGATGGGGACACACCATGGCCGATGCGGTGCGCGCGGCTGAACGCCTGCGGGGACAGGGACGTGGTGGGGACATGGTGGGGACAGCGTGGGGACACACCAGGGGCATGACAGATGGGATGGGGACACACCATGGCCGATGCGGTGGGCGCGGCTGAACGCCTGCAGGGACAGGGACATGGTGGGGACATGGTGGGGACAGCGTGGGGACAGGCCAGGGACATGACAGATGGGATGGGGACACACCATGGCCGATGCGGTGGGCGCGGCTGAACGCCTGAGAGGGAGGGGACATGGTGGGGACATGGTGGGGACACACCAGGGACACCCCAAGTACATGAGGGGACACCATGGCTGATGCAGTGGGCGCGGCTGAAGGCCTGAAAGGGAGGGGACAGGTCAGGGACAGTGAGAGGACACGTGGGGACATCATGGGGACAGGTCAGGGACACGTCTGATGGGATGGGGACACACCAGGGACACAGCAGGGACATGAAGGGACACCCTGGCCAATGCGGTGAGCCTGGCTGAACGCTTGTGGGGACAGGGACATTGTGGGGACAGGTCAAGGACATCATGGGGACATCCTGGGGACACCTCAGGGCCTTGGCAATCAGGGGAGACAGGGAGCTAGGGAGGGTGACACTGGCCAGGTAACACTGTCCAGGTGCCTGGTGCCAGGGGATGGCATTGGCCAGGTGACAGTGCTCAGGTGTGTGACATTGGCCAGGTGACAGTGCTCAGGTGCCCGGTGTCAGGGGATGGCACTGGCCAGGTGCCAGTGCCCAGGTGTGTGACACCGGCCAGGTGACAGTGCTCAGGTGCCCGGTTCCGGGGGATGGCATTACACAGGTGCCAGTGCCCAGGTGCCCGGTTCAGGGGGATGGCACTGGCCAGGTGACAATGCCCAGGTGTGTGACACCGGCCAGGTGCCAGTGCCCAGGTGCCCAGTTCTGGGGGATGGCACTGGCCAGGTGACAATGCCCAGGTGCCCGGTTCAGGGGATGGCACTGGCCAGGTGCCAGTGCCCAGGTGTGTGACACCGGCCAGGTGCCAGTGCCCAGGTGCCCGGTTCAGGGGATGGCACTGGCCAGGTGACAATGCCCAGGTGCCCGGTTCTGGGGGTGCCCAGGTGCCCACCTGGATGTCGTTGTGGGGGTTCCAGTCCGAGTCGAAGATCACCACCGTGTCGGCCGTCGCCAGGTTGATGCCGAGGCCCCCGGCCCGCGTCGACAGCAGGAAACAGAACTGCTGCGCCCCCGGCGCTGCCCCCCCGGCGTCAGGGACGGACCCAAACCGCCCCGAATTCACCCCAAAAACACCCCAAATTCACCCCCTCAGCCCTGTCCTCCCGGCGTCAGTGATGGACCCAAACTGCCCCAAATTCACCCCAAAAACACCCCAAAAACACCCTCACACTGCTGCACCCTCAGCGTCAGTGACAGACCCAAACTGCCCCAAATTCACCCCAAAAACACCCCAAAAACACCCTCACACTGCTGCACCCCCAGCATCAGTGACAGACCCAAACCGCCCCAAATTCACCCCAAAAACACCCCGAATTCACCCCCTCAGCGCTGTCCCCCCGGCGTCAGTGATGGACTCAAAACACCCCAAATTCACCCTCAAAACACCTGAACTCCCCTTGTCCATGTCCCCTGTGTCTCCTGTCCCATTTTCTGTCCCTTGTCCCACCTGCTGTCCCCAGTCCCTGTCCCCATTCCCTGTCATTGTCCCCTGTCCCCATCCCTGTCCCTGTCCCTGTCCCTGTCATTGTCCCTGTCCCTGTCCCCATCGCTACCGTTGAAGCGGTCGATGGCCTCCTGCCGCAGGGCCTGCTCCATCCCCTGTCCCTGTCCCCTGTCCCTGTCCCCTGTCCCACCTGCTGTCCCCTGTCCCCGTCATTGTCCCCTGTCCCCATCCCTGTCCCTGTCATTGTCCCCTGTCCCTGTCCCTGTCCCCATCACTACCGTTGAAGCGGTCGATGGCCTCCTGCCGCAGGGCCCCGCTCCATCCCCTGTCCCTGTCCCCTGTCCCACCTGCTGTCCTCTGTCCCCTGTCCCTGTCATTGATCTCCCTGTCCCACCTGCTGTCCCCTGTCCCTGTCATTGTCCCCTGTCCCTGTCCCTGTCCCCATCGCTACCGTTGAAGCGGTCGATGGCCTCCTGCCGCAGGGCCCCGGTGATGCCGCCGTCGATGCGCTCGTACTTGTAGCCCTCGTAGTCCAGGAAATCCTCCAGCAGGTCCAGCATCTTGGTCATCTGTGAGCACTGGTCAGACTGGGAGCCACTGGGAGCCACTGGGAGGGACTGGGAGCCACTGGGAGGGACTGGGAGGGACTGGGGAGCCTGCACTGGGCACACTGGGAGGGACTGGGAGGGACTGGGAGGGACTGGGAGGGACTGGGAGGGACTGGGGAGCCTGCACTGGGCACACTGGGAGGGACTGGGAGGGACTGGGAGGGACTGGGAGGGACTGGGGAGCCTGCACTGGGCACACTGGGAGGGACTGGGAGGGACTGGGAGGGACTGGGGAGCCTGCACTGGGCACACTGGGAGGGACTGGGAGGGACTGGGAGGGACTGGGGAGCCTGCACTGGGCACACTGGGAGGGACTGGGAGGGACTGGAGACCCTCTACTGGTCAGACTGGGAGGGACTGGGAGCGACTGGGAGGGACTGGGGAGCCTGCACTGGACAGACTGGTGGGATCTGGGGTATTTTGGGGTCCCACCTGGGAGAAGATGAGCACGTGGTTGTTCTGTGGGGATTTTGGGGGTATTTCAGGGATATTTGGGGATAATTTGGGATGTTTTGGGGAGTTTTGGGGTCCCACCTGGGAGAAGATGAGCACGTGGTGATTCTGTGGGGATCTTGGGTGGTTTTGGGGATATTTAGGGATATTTTTGGGTTTTTTGGGGTCCCACCTTGGAGAAGATGACCACGCGGTGGTTCTGGGGTAGGTTTGGGGTATTTCAGGGATATTTTGGGGTGATTCTGGGTGGTTTTGGGGATATTTTGGGGTCCCACCTGTGAGAAGATGAGCACGCGGTGGTTCTGCTCCTTCAGCTTGCGCAGCATCTTCTGCAGCAGCAGCAGCTTCCCCGAGGCCTTGATCAGCGCCCCGCCCTCGTAGGCGCCGCTCGGCAGCTTCGGGGACTCCTGGGGACAGGGACAGCACCAGGTCACCGTGGGGACATCACCCATGGGGACACCACCATGGGGACATCATCCATGGGGACATCACCCACAGGGACATCACCCACAGGGACACCACCATGGGGACATCACCCATGGGGACACTGCCAGGTCACCGCATGGGGACACCACCATGGGGACATCACCCACGGGGACAGGTGTCCCCCCATGATCTCCATGTCCCCTCCATGCTCCTCCACCCCATGTCCCTCTGTCCCTGTCAGGTCACTCCAACCCCTACTTGTCCCCACATCCATGTCCCCAAGTCCCACCAGCCCTGAGTCCCCTCCCTGTCCCCATGTCCCCTCCATGTCCCTCCACGTCCCCATGTCCCACATCCCTGTGTCCCCTCCCTGTCCCCATGTCCCACATCCTTTTAACCCCTCCCTGTCCCCATGTCCTCTCGTTGTCCCCATGTCCCCCCATGGCCCCCGGCTGTCCCCATGTCCTCATGTCCCCCCACACTCCTGGCTGTCCCTGTGTCCCTGCTGTGCCCGTGTCCCCAGGTCCCCAGTGTCCCTGGTGCCCCTGTGTCCCCCCACACCCCCTTCGTGTCCCCATGTCCTCAGTGTCCCCACGTCCCCATATCCCCTCACACCCCCCAGCCGTCCCCATGTCCTCGGTGTCCCCATGTCCCCCCACACCCCCTTGGTGTCCCCATGTCCTCGGTGTCCCCATGTCCCCCCACACCCCCCAGCTGTCCCCATGTCCTCGGTGTCCCCATGTCCCCCCACACCCCCGGTGCCCCTGGTGCCCTCATGTCCTCCCATGTCCCTGGCTGTCCCCGTGTCCCCGTTGTCCCCATGTCCCTGCTGTCCCCAGAGTCCCCCCACACCGCCAGTGTCCCCATGTCCCCACTGTCCCAGTGTCCCCCCGTGTCCCCGTCGTCCCCAGGTGCCCACCATGGCGGCCACGGGGAACAGGTAGGGGTGGTTGCAGCACTTCTTGAGGTCCATCATGATGTTGAGCAGCGACACCTGGTTGCCGCCGCCGCGCGAGTTGAGCGCCTCGAAGTTCCTCGTCAGGATGTACTTGTAGTACTTCCTGCGGGGACAGCGGTGCCACCGGCCGCCCTGGGGACACCGCGGTGGCACTGGCAGGGCCGGGGACGGCGCCCGGGGCGGGGGGCAGCGGGGGCTCACTTCTGCATGGGGCTGAGCTCCACGCGCACGATCAGCTCCGTCTTGGCCGGCATGTTCTTGAAGACGTCGGCCTTGAGGCGCCGCAGCATGTGGGGGCCCAGCAGGTCGTGCAGCTTCTTGATCTGGTCCTCCTTGGAGATGTCGGCAAACTCCTCCAGGAACCCCTCCAGGTTACTGGGGACACGGGGACAGGGTCAGTGTGGGGACATGGAGGGACACAGGAACCCCTCCAGGTTACTGGGGACACGGGGACAGGGTCAGTGTGGGGACATGGGGACATGGGTGTGGGATGGTGGGACACAGGAACCCCTCCAGGTTACTGGGGACACGGGGACATGGGGACAGGGTCAGTGTGGGGACATGGGGACATGGATGTGGGATGGTGGGACACAGGAACTCTTCCAGGTTACTGGGGACATGGGGACAGGGTCAGTGTGGGGACATGGGGACATGGGTGTGGGATGGTGGGACACAGGAACCCCTCCAGGTTACTGGGGACACGGGGACAGGGTCAGTGTGGGGACATGGAGGGACACAGGAACACCTCCAGGTTACTGGGGACAGGGGGACACGGGGACAGGGTCACCGTGGGGACATGGGGACACAATGGGACATGGATGTCGGGTGGAAGGGACACAGGAACCCCTCCAGGTTACTGGGGACAGGAGGACAGGGTCACCAGGGGGGCACAGGGACATGGAGGGACACAGGAACCTCTCCAGGTTACTGGGGACACAGGGACATGGGGACACATGGATATGGGGTGGTGGGACACAGGAACCTCTCCAGGTTACTGGGGACATGGGGATGGGGTCACCATGGGGACACGGAGGGGACACAGGTGGCACAGGTGACACAAGTGACACAGAGGTGACACAGGGCGTGGCACAGGTGACACAGGTGGCACAGAACTCAGTTGAACCTCTCGGGGGTCAGGAAGTTGAGCGGGTGGAACAGCTCCAGCATGGGGACAGGGGGTGGCACAGGTGACAGAGGTGACACGGGTGACACACAGGTGACACACAGGTGACACAGGTGACTCACTTGAAGCGCTCGGGGGTCAGGAAGTTGAGCAGGTGGAACAGCTCCTCCAGGTTGTTCTGCAGCGGGGTCCCCGTCAGCAGCAGCTTGTGCTCGATCTTGTACCCGTTCAGCACCCGGAAAAACTGCGGGGACACGGCTCAGACACCCCAAAACACACCTGGGCACCCCAAAATATACCTGGGGTACACCAAAACACACCTGGGCACCCCAAAATACACCTGGGCACCCCAAAATACACCTGGGTACCCCCAGATACACCTGGGGTACACCAAAACACACCTGGGCACCCCTGATCCCCTGGACAAACTGCGGGGACACGGCTCAGACACCCCAAAATACACCTGGGCACCCCAAAATATACCTGGGGTACACCAAAACACACCTGGGCACCCCCCTCAGACACCCCAAAATACACCTGGGCACCCCAAAATATACCTGGGGTACACCAAAACACACCTGGGCACCCCCCTCAGACACCCCAAAATACACCTGGGCACCCCAAAATATACCTGGGGTACACCAAAACACACCTGGGCACCCCCCTCAGACACCCCAAAATATACCTGGGCACCCCAAAATATACCTGGGCACCCCCTCAGACACCCCAAACACACCTGGGCACCCCTGACACCCACCTGGGGCACCCTCAGACCCTGAAATCAGGGATCCCCGGTTTCTGGGGTGCCCCCAGCCCCATGGGCAGTTTTTGGGGTGCCCCCCAGCCTCATCCCCAGGTTTTGGGGTGCCCCCAGCCCCACACCCAGTTTTGGGGTGCCCCCCACCTTGGACTGGTTGTTCTTGAGCCGGTGGGCGTCGTCCTCCACCAGGTAGGTACCCAACAATGCCCACCCATGTCCCCAGGTACCCAGGTGTCCCCTACACCCATGGGCAGTTTTTGGGGTGCCCCCCAGCTCCATGCCCGGTTTTTGGGGTGCCCCCCACCTTGGACTGGTTGTTCTTGAGCCGGTGGGCCTCGTCCACCACCAGGCAGGCCCAGCGGATGGAGCCCAGCGCCGCCTGGTCGATGGTGATCAGCTCGTAGGACGTGAGCAGGACGTGGAACTTCACCTGGGCCTCGCGCTGCGGGCACGGGGACGGGGTCAGGGGGACCCCAAAACCCCACCCAGAACCCCAAAACGTGGAAACGGCACACCCAGAACCCCAAACCCCACCCAGAACCCCAAAACATGGAAACGGCACACCCAGAAACCCCCAAACCCCACCCAGAACCCCAAAACATGGAAATGGCACACCCAGAACCCCCAAACCCCACCCAGAACCCCAAAACATGGAAACGGCACACCCAGAACCCCAAACCCCACCCAGAACCCCAAAACATGGAAACGGCACACCCAGAACCCCAAAACGTGGAAAAACCCCACCCAGAAACCCCCAAACCCCACCCAGAACCCCAAAACGTGGAAACGGCACACCCAGAACCCCAAAACCCCACATGGGGTTCCCGAAACATGGAAACATGGAAATCCCGAAACATGGAAAAAACCAACCTAGAACCCCCCAAACCCCACCCAGAACCCCCCAAACCCCTCTCAGAACCCCAAAATGGGGCACGGACACATAGGGGACCCCAGAATGTGGAAAAATCCCACCCAGAACCCCCCAAACCTCACCCAGAACCCCAAAACGGGGCACAGACCCACAGGGGAGCCCAAAATGGGCCACGGACACATAGGGAGCCCCAAAATGTGGAAAAACCCCACTCAGAACCCCCCAAACCCCATCTAGCACCCCAAAAACCCACCCAGAACCCCCAGAATCCTGCACACAACCCCGAAACATGGAAAAACCCCCCACAGAACCTCCCAAAGCCCACCAAGAACCCCCAAAACCCCACCCAGAACACCAAGGTGACCCAAGTGTCCAGGTGCCACCCCCAGGTGTCCAAATGCCACCCCCATCTGTCCAGGTGCCACCCCAGGTGCCACCCCCAGGTGTCCAGGTGCCACTCCCATCTGTCCGTGTGCCACCCCACTGTCCCCCAGCTGTCCAGACGCCACCTTGCTGTCCCCCAGGTGTCCAGATGCCACCCCAGGTGCCACTCCCTGTCCCCCAGGTGCCACCCGCGGTGTCCCCGGGCCCCACCTTCATCTTGAAGTGTCCATGTACCACCCCACTGTCCCCCAGGTGCCACCCCCAGCTGTCCAACTGCCACCCCCAGGTGTCCAGATGCCACCCTGCTGTCCCCCAGCTGTCCATGTGCCACCCCGCTGTCCCCCATCTGTCCAGGTGCCACCCCAGGTGCCACCCCCATCAGTCCAGGTGCCACCCCCATCTGTCCAGATGCCACTCCGCTGTCCCCCATCAGTCCAGGTGCCACCCCAGGTGCCACCCGCAGTGTCCCCGGGCCCCACCTTCATCTTGAAGGCCTTCTTGCCGCCCTTCATGGCGTTGTCGTCGAAGGAGAACTCGTTCTCGCGGATGATGGCCCTGCTGTCCTTGTCCCCCGTGTAGGTGACGACGTAGAACGCCGGGGCCCACATCTGGAACTCGCGCTCCCAGTTGATGATGGTGGAGAGCGGGGCACTGACGAGGAACGGGCCCTTGGTGTGGCCCTGGGGGACACTGTGTCACACCATGGGGACAGCCTGGGGACACTGTGTCACACCATGGGGACAGGGGACATGGGGACAGCCTGGGGACGCTGTGTCACACCATGGGGACAGGGGACATGGGGACAGCCTGGGGACGCTGTGTCACACCATGGGGACAGGGGACACATGGGCACTGACGAGGAACGGGCCCTTGGTGTGGCCCTGGGGGACACTGTGTCACACCATGGGGACAGCCTGGGGACGCTGTGTCACACCATGGGGACAGGGGACATGGGGACAGCCTGGGGACGCTGTGTCACACCATGGGGACAGGGGACACATGGGCACTGACGAGGAACGGGCCCTTGGTGTGGCCCTGGGGGACACTGTGTCACACCATGGGGACAGGGGACATGGGGACAGCCTGGGGACACTGTGTCACACCATGGGGACAGGCCTGGGGGACACTGTGTCACACCATGGGGACAGCCTGGGGACACTGTGTCACACCATGGGGACGGGACATAGGGACAGCCTGGGGGACACTGTGTCACACCATGGGGACAGGGGACATGGGGACAGCCTGGGGGACACTGTGTCACACCATGGGGACAGGGGACATGGGGACAGCCTGGGGACGCTGTGTCACATGGGGACAGCCCTGGGGGACACTGTGTCACACCATGGGGACAGCCTGGGGACACTGTGTCACACCATGGGGACAGGGGACATGGGGACAGCCTGGGGACGCTGTGTCACACCATGGGGACAGGCCCTGAGGGACCTCAGAAGGGGCCACAGGTGCCCCCAGGCCCACGTGAGTGACCCCAGTGACCATGTGGGTGCCCCCAGCCCCACACAGGTGCCCCCAGGCCCACATGAGTGACCCCAGCCTCACATGGGGGCCCTCAGACCCACGTGGGTGACCCCAGTGACCGCACAGGTGCCCCGCAGGTGCCCCGCAGGTGCCCCCAGGCCCACATGAGTGACCCTAGGCCCCCATGAGTGCCCTCAGACCCACGTGGGTGCCCCCAGCCCCACACAGGTACCCCAGAGGTGCCCCCAGCCCCACACAGGTGCCCCCAGGCCCATGTGGATGACCTTAGTGACCATGTGGGTGCCCCCAGTGCCCACACAGGTGCCCCGCAGGTGCCCCGCAGGTGCCCTCACCTCCTTGTAGAGCGAGTAGAGGAAGACGATGGTCTGGATGGTCTTGCCCAGCCCCATCTCGTCGGCCAGGATGGTGTCGGTGCTCTGCGCCCACGAGAAGCGCAGCCAGTTGAGCCCCTCCAGCTGGTACAGGTGCAGCGTGCCGCCCGTGGCCGTGATGAAGCGCGGCTGCGTCTCGTACTTGACCGTGGGCTGCGGGGACACGGCTGTCACCGGGGGGACACGCCACCACAGACACCCCAAACACCCCCAACATGGCTGGAGGGGTCACAGGGACTGGGTTTGGGGGGACACGGCTGTCACCGGGGGGGACACACCCCCATGGGGATGGAGGGGTCAGGGGGATCAGGGGAACTGGGTCTGGGGGGACACGGCTGTCACCGGGGGGACACACCCCCATGGGGATGGAGGGGTCAGGGGGATCAGGGGCTGGGTTTGGGGGGACACGGCTGTCACCAGGGAGACACGGCACCACAGACACCCCCATGGGGATGGAGGGGTCACAGGGACTGGGTTTGGGGGGACACGGCTGTCACCGGGGGGACACGCCACCACAGACACCCCAAACACCCCCAACATGGCTGGAGGGGTCACAGGGACTGGGTCTGGGGGGACACGGCACCACAGACACCCCCATGGGGATGGAGGGGTCAGGGGAACTGGGTCTGGGGGGACACGGCTGTCACCGGGGGGACACACCCCCATGGGGATGGAGGGGTCAGGGGGATCAGGGGAACTGGGTTTGGGGGGGACACGGCTGTCACCGGGGGGACACGCCACCACAGACACCCCAAACACCCCCAACATGGCTGGAGGGGTCACAGGGACTGGGTCTGGGGGGACACGGCACCACAGACAGCACCGTGGGGATGGAGGGGTCAGGGGGATCAGGGGAACTGGGTTTGGGGGGACACGGCTGTCACCGGGGGGACACGCCACCACAGACACCCCAAACATGGCTGGAGGTGACACAGGGGACAGGTGGGCTCAGGGGAACTGAGTTTGGGGGCCACGCGCCACCACAGACACCCCAAACATGGCTGGAGGGGTCACAGGGCTCAGGTGGGCTCACGGGAACCGGGTTTGGGGTGCCCAGGTGTCCAGGAATATCCCCAAAGGCTCCCCCACTTTTTGGAATGCCCAGTTTTTGGGGTCTCTAGGTTTGGGATGCCCAGTTTTTGGGGTGCCCAATTTTTGGGGTCTCCAGGTTTGGGATCCCCAGTTTTTGGGGTGCCCAATTTTTGGGGTGCCCAATTTTTGGGATCCCCAGTTTTGGGATCCCCAGTTTTGGGGTCTCCAGTTTTTGGGATCTCCAGTTTTGGGGTCTCCAGTTTTTGGGATCCTGTTTTTGAGGTGCCCAGTTTTTGGAGTGCCCAGTTTTTGGAGTGCCCAATTTTGGGCTCCCCAGTTTTTGGGGATCCCCAGTTTTTAGGGTTCCCCAGTTTTGGGGTCACTCACGTCGTTGGTGGGCGAGTCGGGGGGTCCCTCCCCCGGCGTCTCCTTCTTCTTCTTCTTGTAACGGCGCGGCTGGGCCGGGTCCTCACCCATGAACACCTCCCTGGGGACATCGGGGACACCGGGGGACATCAGGGGACATCCTGCAACCCCAGTGTCCCTCCCAGTGTCCCCAGTGTCCCTCACCGGTGTTTCCAGCAGGCACATCCCTGTACCCCAATCTCCCCAATCTCCCCAGTGTCCCCCCAGTGTCCCCTCACCGGTGTTTCCAGTAGGCACACCCCTGTACCCCCAATCTCCCCAATGTCCCCAGTGTCCCCCCAGTGTCCCCAGTGTCCCCAGTGTCCCCTCACCGGTGTTTCCAGTATGCCAGCTTGTGCAGGTCGTAGTCGGGGATGGGCATCTCGTCCTCCTCCCAGGTGGCCTGGTCGTAGGGCAGGTCCCGCCACTTCACCAGGTAGTGGTACTGCCCCTTGCGGTCCACGCTGCGCCACGGCACCGCGTCACCCGCGGCACGGGGACACCGTGGGGACAGCACGGGGACAGCCAGGGCACCGCGTCACCCGCGGCACGGGGACACCGTGGGGACAGCGGGGGGACAGCCAGGGCACCGCGTCACCCGCGGCACGGGGACACCGTGGGGACAGCACGGGGACAGCCAGGGCACCGCGTCACCCGCGGCACGGGGACACCGGGGACAATGTGGGGACAGAGGGGACAGCCAGGGACATCCAGGGATAGCCAGGGCACCGCGTCACCCGCGGCACGGGGACACCGTGGGGACAGCCACGGGCACTGCGTCACCCATGGCACAGGGACAGTGGGGACAGCGGGGACAGAGGGGACAACACGGGGACAGGCAGGGACAGAGGGGACAGCCAGGGACACAGCAGGGACAGCCAGGGCACCGCGTCACCCGGCGCATGGGGACACCGTGGGGACAGCGGGGGGGACAGCCAGGGACACCGTGTCACCCGCGGCACGGGGACAGAGGGGACAGCATGGGGACAGCCAGGGCACCGCGTCACCCGTGGCACGGGGACAGAGGGGACATCACAGGGACAGCGTGGGGACAATGGGGACAATGCAGGGACAGCCAAGGCACCCCATCACCCGGGGCACGGGGACACAGCGGGGACAGCGTGGGGACAGCCAGGGATAGCCAGGGACACCGCGTCACCCGAGGCATGGGGACAGTGGGGACAACACGGGGACACAGTGGGGACAACCAGGGACAGAGGGGACAGCCAGGGATAGCCAGGGCACCGCGTCACCCGGGGCACGGGGACATCGTGGGGACAGCCAGGGCACCCAAGGGCAAAGGGGGACAATGGGGGACACCAGGGGACACCAGGGGAACAATGGAGCAGTGGTGACACCAGGCACCCAAGGACGTGTGGCATCATGGGGACATCAGGCACCCAGGGGACACCCACGGGGACAACTGAGTGTCCCCAAGGGCACGGGGCACCCATGGGTGACACTGGGCACCCCTGGGGACACGGGGACAGCCAGCAGCACCGAGGGACACGGCAGGGAGTGTCACTGCCACCAGGGTGTGTCACTGCCACCAGGGTGTGTCACTGCCAGCAGGGAGTGGGTGACAGCAGGGGACTGAAAGGGACACAAGTGCCACCAGGGGTCAGCAGGGACACTGGGGTCACCTGGGGACACGTGGGGACACAGAGGGGACACGTGGACAGGACATGGGGTCACCTGGGGACACGGGGACAACTGGGGACATGGAATGAAAATGAGGCCACTTGGGGACACAGAGGTGACACGGGGTCACTTGGGGACAGGGACACATGGAGGGGACATGGGGGACAGTGCCCGACCATCCCAGTGGGTGCTGGGGGCTCCTGGGGCACCCAGGGGTGCCCAGAATGTCCCCACAGGTGCCACCAATGTCCCCAAACCCCCCCTCGGCCACCTGGCTGTCCCCCTGTCCCCTGGGGATTTGGGGGGGCCCTGGAGGATATCTGGGGTGCCCTGGATGAGATTTGGGGTGTCCCGGGTGGCATTTGGGGTGCCCTGGATGGGATATTTTGGGGTGCCCTGGGGGACATTTTGGGGTGCCCTGGGGGACATTTTGGGGTCCCCACCTGTGGTTGATGATGCGGTGCACTGTCACCCACTCGGGCTTGATGCCGTAGCAGTAAAAGCGCCCCAGGGGATATTTGGGGTGCCCTGGATGGGATTTGGGGTACCCTGGGTGGATATTTTGGGGGTGCCCCAGGTGGATATTTTGGGGTACCCTGGGTGGATATTTTGGGGGTGCCCCGGGTGGATTTTTTGGGGTTCAGGTCCCCACCTGTGGTTGATGATGCGGTGCACTGTCACCCACTCGGGCTTGATGCCGTAGCGGCAGAAACACCCCAGGGGATATTTTGGGGTGCCCCGGGTGGATATTTGGGGTGCCCTGGGGGATATTTTGGGGTGCCCCGGGTGGATATTTTGGGGTGCCCCGGGTGGATATTTTGGGGTGCCCTGGGTGGATATTTTGGGGGTGCCCTGGGGGATATTTGGGGTGCCCCAGGGGGATATTTTGGGGTACCCCGGGTGGATATTTTGGGGTGCCCTGCATGGATATTTTGGGGTCCTCCAGGTGATATTTGGGGTGTCCCGGGTGGATATTTTGGGGGTGCCCTGGGGGATATTTGGGGTGCCCTGGAGGATATTTTGGGGGTGCCCCGGGTGGATTTTTTGGGGTTCAGGCCCCCACCTGTGGTTGATGATGCGGTGCACCGTCATCCACTCGGGCTTGATGCCGTAGCGGTAGAATCGCTCCTCCATGCCCCCAAAGAGGGGGTCCCCCCCTGCCCCCCGCTTCTCGCTCTTGGGGTCGTCGTCCCCGGAGCCGTAGTCCAGCGGGGGGGGCTCGTCCATGTCGTTCTTGCGCTGGTAGTTGCGGTACATCACCAGGTGGAAGATCTCCAGCTGCGCCCCGAAATCAAAGGAGACACCCCAAAGTTAGGGGAGACACCCCAAAGTTAGGGGTGACACCCCAAAGTTAGAGAGAATCACCCCAAAGTTAGAGAGAATCACCCCAAAGTTAGGGGGGACACCCCAAAGTTAGAGAGAATCACTCCAAAGTTAAAGGGAATCACCCCAAAATTAGAGGGAATCACCCCAAAGTTAAAGGGAATCACCCCAAAGTTAGAGGGAATCACCCCAAAGTTAAAGGGAATCACCCCAAAGTTAGAGAGAATCACCCCAAAGTTAGAGAGGATACCCCAAAGTTAAAAGGAATCATCCCAAAATTAGACAGAGCATCCTGAAGTTAGGAAGGGCATCCCAAAGGTAGAGAGGACACCCCAAAGTTAAAGGGGGACACCCCAAAGGTAGAGAGGACACCCCAAAGTTAGAGGGAATCACCCAAAATTAGACAGAGCATCCCAAAATTAGAGAGGACATCCCAAAGTTAGAGGGGACACCCTGAAGTTGGAGGGGACACCCCAAAGTTAAAGGGAATCATCCCAAAATTAGAGCACCCCAAAGTTAGAAGGGAACATCCCAAAGTTAGAGGGAATCACCCCAAAGTTAAAGGGGGACAGCTCAAAGTTAGAGGGGACACCCCAAAGTTAGAGAGGATACCCCAAAATTAGACAGAGCATCCCAAAATTAGAGAGGACATCCCAAAGTTAAAGGGAATCACCCCAAAGTTGGGAAGAACACCCCAAAGTCAGAGGGGAAAATCCCAAAGTTATGGGGGACACCCCAAAGTTAAAAAGAATCATCCCAAAATTAGAGAGGAGCACCTCAAAGCTGAGCCCCCGCAGTTCTCCAGCTGTCCCGTCCATACTTTGGGGTATCCCCCCAGGTTTTTGGGGTCCCCCCCAGGTTTTTGGGGTGCCCCAGGTGTGCCGTACCTGCAGCTCCTTGATCCAGGAGCAGTGCCAGTAGGACAGCCCCACCCCTGCTGAGCCCCCCCAGTTTTCCAGGCTTTCCCCCATATTTTGGGGTATCTCACCCATACTTTGGGGTCCCACCCGATGTTTTGGGGTGCCCCAGGTGTGCCGTACCTGCAGCTCCTTGATCCAGGAGCAGTGCCAGTAGGACAGCCCCACCCCTGCTGAGCCCCCCCAGTTTTCCAGGCTTTCCCCCATATTTTGGGGTATCCCCCCGATATTTTGGGGTCTCCCCCAGGTTTTTGGGGTGCCCCAGGTGTGCCGTACCTGCAGCTCCTTGATCCAGGAGCAGTGCCAGTAGGACAGCCCCACCCACTTGACGAAGAACTCTCGCTCCGAGCGGCCCTGCAGGGCCTGGGGGGGCCCCTCCTGGGCCTGGGGGGCTCCTGGGGGCGCCACGGGGGCGGGGGGCTCCCCCCAGCGCCAGTAGAGGATCTTCTGTACACGGCCCTTGAGCACCGGGCACTGCGGGGACATGGGGACACTGATGGGGACACTGACGGGGACACTGACGGGGACACTGCCCCCATATCCCCCACAGTGTCCCCACAGGATCTTCTGTACACGGCCCTTGAGCACCGGGCACTGCGGGGACAGGGACACTGATGGGGACACTGACGGGGACACTGCCCCCATGTCCCTCAGTGTCCCCACAGGATCTTCTGTACACGGCCCTTGAGCACCGGGCACTGCGGGGACAGGGACACTGATGGGGACACTGATGGAGACATCGGTGTCCCTGTGAGCCCTCAGTGTCCCCATGTCCCCATGTCCCCAGTGTCCCCATGTCCCCAATGTCCCCTCCATGTCCCCATGTCCCCAGTGTCCCCATACCGTGCAGCGGGGACAGAGCCACTCGCCGTTGGGGACCTCGGGCAGGGGTGGGTTCAGGCAGTGGATGTGGTACGAGGACACCACAGCCCCCGTGTCCCTGCTGTCCCCAGTGTCCCCTCAGTGTCCCCATACCGCGCAGCGGGGACAGAGCCACTCTCCGTTGGGGACCTCGGGCAGCAGCGGGTTCAGTGTCACAGCTCCCGTGTCCCCAATGTCCCCAATGTCCCTGCTGTCCCCAACGTCCCACAGTGTCCCCATGTCCCCAATGTCCCCATACCGTGCAGCGGGGACAGAGCCACTCGCCGTTGGGGACCTCGGGCAGCGGCGGGTTCAGTGTCACAGCCCCCGTGTCCCCCATGTCCCCACAGTGTCCCCATGTCCCCATACCGTGCAGCGGGGACAGAGCCACTCTCCGTTGGGGACCTCGGGCAGGGGCGGGTTCAGGCAGTGGATGTGGTACGAGGACACCACAGCCCCCGTGTCCCTGCTGTCCCCAGTGTCCCCATGTCCCCAGTGTCCCCTCAGTGTCCCCATACCGTGCAGCGGGGACAGAGCCACTCGCCGTTGGGGACCTCGGGCAGCGGCGGGTTCAGGCAGTGGATGTGGTACGAGGACACGCAGGCGTCGCAGCACAGCAGCTCGCCGCCGTCCTTGCACACGCGGCAGTACTCCATGTGATCGTCCTCCTCCTCCTTCTCGCCCTCCTCCTCCTCCTCTTCCTCCTCCTCCTCCTCCTCCTTGGCCTCCCACTGCACGCCCTCCTTCTCCTGGGGACGCATCGGGGTCAGAGGGGGGACACCAAAACTCCGGGGAGGGACCAAAACAGCCCCTGGAGACCCAAACCTCAAGGGAATGCTCCCAAAATACCAGGGAATAACCCCAAAACAGGCCATGGAGACCCCAAACTGCCAGGGAATAACCCCAAAACAGGCCCTGGAGACCCCAAACTGCCAGGGAATGGCCCCAAAACAGGCCCTGGAGACCCCAAACTGCCAGGGAATGGCCCCAAAACAGCCCCAACACCATCCCAATCCCCCCAGGATGCGCCTAAGGCCCCCCAGGATGCCTCTAGTGCCCCCCAGTCCCCTCCAGGATGCCCTCAGTGCCCCCCAGTCCTCTCCCAGTCCACCCCCAGTGCCCCCAGTCCCCTCTCAGTCCTCCCTAACCCCCTCCAGTAACCCCCAGTCCCCTCCCAGTCCCTCCCATTCCCCTCCCAGTGCCCCCCAGTGCCCCCAGCCCCCCGTGCTCACGCAGTGGGGGCAGCTCCAGCGCCCCCCCGGGATGCCCCCAGTGCCCCCCAGTCCCCCCCAGTGCCCCCAGCAGGGCACTCACGCAGTGGGGGCAGGTCCAGCGGCCCTCAGGATGCCCCTAGAGCCCCCCAGGATGCCCCCAGTGCCCCCCAGTGCCCCCAGCCCCCCGTGCTCACGCAGTGGGGGCAGCTCCAGCGGCCCTCGGGATGCCCCCAGGATGCCCCCAGTGCCCCCAGCCTGGCACTCACGCAGTGGGGGCAGCTCCAGCGGCCCTCAGGATGCCCCCAGTGCCCCCCAGTGCCCCCAGTGCCCCCAGCCTGGCACTCACGCAGTGGGGGCAGCTCCAGCGCCCCTCGGGATGCCCCCAGTGCCCCCCAGGATGCCCCCAGTGCCCCCAGCCTGGCACTCACGCAGTGGGGGCAGCTCCAGCGGCCCTCGGGGGCCCGGTCCAGCTCGGGGTCCAGGCACACCAGGTGGTAGGCGCGCGGGCAGGTGTCGCACAGGATGATCTCCCCGCCCTGCTGGCACACCTCGCAGTAATCCTGGTGGTCGGTCTCGTAGCCGTCGCCCTCCTCCTCGGGGCCCGGCCCTAAGGGGACAGCGACACTGCTGGCACCCTGGCACTGCTGTCACTGCTGTCACCTGGTCACTGCTGGCACCCTGGCACTGCTGTCACTGCTGTCACCCGGTCACTGCTGTCACCTTTGTCACCTTTGTTACCTTGTCACTGCTGTCACTGCACCCTTCAGAAGGTGTGGGGGGAACTGGGGACAGGGATGGGGACATGGGGACACTGGGGACAAGGACAGAGACATGGGGACACTGGGAACAGCAGGATGGAGGAACTGGGAACAGGGCAGGTGACACCTTGGGGACACCCCTCAAAGGACCCCTCCAGCCACCGGGCTGGGCACAGAGCCACAACCACAGCCCCCGCTTGGAGCAGGGGGGTGACACCCCTGGGGACACTTTGGGGTGTCTCACCACGCACAGGCGCCATGCCCGTCCCCACAGGGCCGGGGGCTGCAAGGAGAGATGGGGGCAGCAGGGGACACGGGGACATCAGGTGGCACCCGGGGACACTCAGGGACACTCGGGGACACTTGGGGACACTCAGGGATGCTCAGGGACACCCGGGAACACTCAGGGACACTCAGGGGACACTCGGGGACACTCAGGGGACACCCGGGGACACTCGGGGACACTCAGGAGACACTCGGGGACACTCGAGGACATTTGGGGACACTCAGGGATGCTCGGGGACGCTTGGGGACACCCGGGGACACTCGGGGACACCCGGGGACACCCGGGGACACTCACCCTTCTTCTTCTTGCGGCCGGGGCGGCCCCGTTTGAGCTTCTTGAGGCGCGTGGCGGGGTCGGGGCGGGGGGCGGCCCCCAGCACCCCGGGGCTCTCGGCGTCAGAGTCCTCCTCGGCCTCGCCCGCGTCCTCGCTCTGCACACGGGGGACAGCGGGGACAGTGGGGACATGAGGGGACAGCGGGGACAGCAGGGGATATTGGGGACATTGGGAACAGCAGGGACACTGGGGACAGCAGGGGACAGCGGGGACATTGGGGACAAGTGCCCCATCCCATGTGCCCATCCTCAGTGTCCCTGGGTGTCCTCACCCCAAGTGTCCCCATTTCTCCCCTGCCCTGTCCTCCCCCAGTGCTCCCAGTGTGCCCCAGCACTCCCCAGTACCCCCCTGCCCTGTCCCCAGTATCCCCCAGTGCTCCCAGTATCCCCAGTGCTCTCAGTGTCCCCCAATGCTCCCAGTGTCCCCCAGTGTCCCCAGTGTCCCTCACCGAGCTGCTCTTCTTGCGTTTCCCCCCCAGCACTCCCAGTTTGATCTTGAGCGGTGCCATCTTCCTGCCCTTCATCTTCCTCTTCAGCTCGGGCACCCGAGGGCTCTTGCTGCGCTTCTTGTGCCCGGGGCCTGGGGGGCACCCAAAACAACCTCAGGGACCCCCAAACTGACCAGGGGACCCCCAAACTATCACAGGGACCCCCCAATTACCCAGGGGACCCCCAAACCATCACAGGGACTCCAAACCGACCAGGGGACCCTCAAAATCATCACAGGGACCCCAAAACTGACTAGGAAAGCCCCAAAACACCACAGGGACACCAAACTGACCAGGGGAGCTCCAAAACACCACAGAGACCCCCCCAAATCATCCTAGGGCTCCTCCAAACAGCCCACGGGACCCTCAAAACCATCACAGAGACCTTCAAACCATCACAGTGACCCCCAAAACCCCCACACCCCCAGGGTTACCCCAAAACCCCCAAAGCTGGGGAGGGGTCCCCACCTTTCCCCTCCTCGGTCTAGGCCTTGCGCAGGGGCTGTGCCTGTGCCGGTGGCGGCGCCTCGGGGGCACCCCCAAACCCCAAATCCCCCAAACCCCACCAAAGCTGAGGAGGGGTCTCCCCACCCTTCCCCTCCTCGGTCTTGGCCTTGCGCAGGGGCTGTGCCTGTGCCTGTGGCGGCAGTGGCGGCGCCTCGGGGGCACCCCAAAACCCTAAACCCCCCAAACCCCCCCAAAGCTGGGGAGGGGTCCCCACCTTCTCCCCTCCTTGTGCCTGTGCCTGTGGCGGTGCCTCGGGGGTACCCCCAAACTCCCCAAATCCCAAACCCCCCAATCCCCCCAGGTTGAGGAGGGGTCCCCACCTCTTCCCTCCTCGGTCTTGGCCTTGCGCAGGGGCTGTGCCTGTGCCTGTGGCAGCAGTGGCGGCACCTTGGGGGCACCCCAAACCCCCCAAAGCCCAGTGAGGGGTCCCCACCTTTTCCCTCCTTGGTCTTGGCCTTGCGCAGGGGCTGTCCCTGTCCCTGTCCCTGTCCCTGTCCCTGTCCCGGTCCCTGCGGCTGTGCCGGCGGCGCCTCGGGGCCCACGCTGGCCACGGCTGCCGACACCTGCTCGGCCACGGCGGCCGCTGCAGCCGCTGCAGCCGCGGCCACGGCGGCGGCCGAGCCCTTGAAGGGGTTGTTGGCGCTGAACTCCCTCCACTTGGCGCCCAGGATGGTCATCATCTTGGACATGGGGATCTTGGGGTTCTTCTTGGCTATCAGGGGCCTGTGGAGAGAGCAGGGGGCAAAGGGTGAGGGGCAAAGGGTGAGGGGGGCAAAGGGTGAGGGGGGAAAGGGTGAGGGGCAAAGGGTGAGGGGCAAAGGGTGAGGGGGCAAAGGGTGAGGGGGGAAAGGGTGAGGGGGGAAAGGGTGAGGGGCAAAGGGTGAGGGGCAAAGGGTGAGGGGGGAAAGGGTGAGGGGCAAAGGGTGAGGGGGCAAAGGGTGAAGGGGGCAAAGGGTGAGGGGGGAAAGGGTGAGGGGCAAAGGGTGAGGGGCAAAGGGTGAGGGGGGAAAGGGTGAGGGGGGAAAGGGTGAGGGGCAAAGGGTGAGGGGGCAAAGGGTGAGGGGCAAAGGGTGAGGGGGGAAAGGGTGAGGGGCAAAGGGTGAGGGGGGAAAGGGTGAGGGGCAAAGGGTGAGGGGGGAAAGGGTGAGGGGCAAAGGGTGAGGGGCAAAGGGTGAGGGGGGAAAGGGTGAGGGGGCAAAGGGTGAGGGGGGCAAAGGGTGAGGGGCAAAGGGTGAGGGGGGAAAGGGTGAGGGGGGAAAGGGTGAGGGGGGAAAGGGTGAGGGGCAAAGGGTGAGGGGGGAAAGGGTGAGGGGCAAAGGGTGAGGGGGGAAAGGGTGAGGGGCAAAGGGTGAGGGGCAAAGGGTGAGGGGGGAAAGGGTGAGGGGGGAAAGGGTGAGGGGCAAAGGGTGAGGGGGCAAAGGGTGAGGGGGGAAAGGGTGAGGGGGGAAAGGGTGAGGGGCAAAGGGTGAGGGGCAAAGGGTGAGGGGGGCAAAGGGTGAGGGGCAAAGGGTGAGGGGGGAAAGGGTGAGGGGGTGGTGGGGGCAGAAGGGAGAGAAGTGTTCTGGACATTGTGGGGTGGCATGGTGGCCACAGGGCGGCCTGGGGTGGGCCAGGGTCACTCAGGATGGTCCTGGGGTCACTCAGAACCCTCTGAAACACCCAGAGGGACCCCCAGGACCCCCCCAAACACCCAGAGGGACCCCTGGGGTGCCCCCCAAACAGCCAGAGGCACCCCCAGGACCCCCCCAAACACCCAGAGGGACCCCCAGGACCCCCCCAAACACCCAGAGGGACCCCTCGGGTGCCCCCAAACACCCAGAGGGACCCCCAGGACCCCCCCAAACACCCAGAGGGAGCCCTGGGACCCCCCCAAACAGCCTGGGGGACCCCCAGCGCACCTCATGAACTGGCTGAAGGCCTTGTAGTTGGTGAGGGTGTGATAATCCTCCTCGGTGAACACGTGGTCAACGTCCTCCAGCCCCCAGGCCCCCAGGAGCTGCGCCGAGGATTTCTGCTCCACCGCCTGCAGGGCACAGGGGGACAGCAGGGGGACATGGGGGGACAGCAGGGACACCAGGGGGACATGGGGGACAGCAGGGACACCAGGGGGACATGGGGGACAGCAGGGGGACATGGGGGGACAGCAGGGACAGCAGGGGGACATGGGGACATCAGGGACAGCAGGGGGACATGGGGGGACAGCAGGGACACCAGGGGGACATAGGGGACATCAGGGGGATGGATGCCAGGACAGGGAGAAACACCAGGAACAGGGACAGAGAGCAGGAGAAGGAAACACGTCACTGTGGGGACCCCTGATGTGATGGGACCCCCCACAAGGACCAGAGGGGAGATGGGGACCCCCCGTGGGCACCCAAGGGGTTTTGGGACCACCACGGGGACCCACACAGCGACAGTACCCCCCAAAAGGTGTTGGGACCCCCATGAGGACCCCACACAGCGACAGAACTCCCCCAGAAAGTTTTGGGATCTCACTGAGGACCCCACACAGTGACAGAACCCCCATGAGGACCCCACACAGGTGTTGGGACCTCATTGAGGACCCCACACAGGTGATGGAACCCCAAAAGGTGTCGGGACCCCCATGAGGACCCCCCACAAGCGTTGGGACCCCCCATGAGGACCCCACACAATGACAGAACCCTATAAAGGTATCAGGACCCCCACAGAACCCCCCATAGATGTTGGGACCCCTATGAGAACTCCCCTAGGTGCTGGGTCCCCCCAGAACCCCCAATTCCCCACACAGGGGGTGCCCCCCACCCCGAGGTGCCCCCCCCAGGCCGCACCTTGACCTTCTGCCCCCCCTCATCGTCGGCCTTTTTCCTCCTCTTGGTTTTCTTCTCCTTCTTCTCGCGGTGCTTCCGCCGCCGCTTGCGCGCCGCCCCGCCCGAGTCGCTGCCGCCGCTCTCCGACTTCTCCCGGTACTCCTCGCGCTGGTACTCGTCCCTCTCGGACTCCAGCTCATCCTCGCTCACCTGGGGAACCCAAAAATATCCCTAAAATACCCCAAAACCACCCCAAAATACCCCAGAACTGTCAGTGATCCTGAGAGCCCTGAGCCACTCCCGGTACTCCTCACGCTGGTACTCGTCCCTCTCGGACTCCAGCTCATCCTCGCTCACCTGGGGAACCCAAAATAACCCAAAACCACCCCAAAAATACCCCCAAACCACCCCAAAAACTGTCAGTGATCCTGAGAGCCCTGAGCCACTCCCGGTACTCCTCGCGCTGGTACTCGTCCCTCTCGGACTCCAGCTCATCCTCGCTCACCTGGGGAACCCAAAAATATCCCTAAAATACCCCAAAACCACCCCAAAATACCCCAGAACTGTCAGTGAAACTTAGAGCCCTGAGCCACTCCCGGTACTCCTCGCGCTGGTACTTGTTCCTCTCGGACTCCAGCTCATCCTCGCTCACCTGGGGAACCCAAGATAACCCAAAACCACCCCAAAAATACCCCAAAAACCACCCCAAAACTGTCACCGACCCTGAGAGCCCCCTCAGTCACACCCTGTCCCTGTCCCCAAACCCTGTCACCTGTCCCTGACCCTACCCAGTGTCCCCATCCCTGTCCCCTGTCCCCATCCCTGTCCCCGTCCCCGTCCCAGCAGCACCCACCAGTTTTTTCCGTTTCCGGGGTTTCCCGGGTTTGTTTTCCTTCTGTTTCCGGGGGCCCCTTTTCTTCTTCTTCACCCCCAGGGCCCCCTCGAGGCCCCGCAGCAGCTCCTCGTCACCATCTGCGGGGACACCGTGGGGACATCAGCCACGGGGACACGGGGACACGGGGACATCAGCCGTGGGGACATGGGGACACGGGGACATCAGCCACGGGGACACGGGGACACGGGGACATCAGCCACGGGGACAGGGGAACATCAGCCACGGGGACACGGGGACATCAGCCGTGGGGACATGGGGACACGGGGACATCAGCCACGGGGACACGGGGACACGGGGACACGGGGACACGGGGACACGGGGACATCAGCCACGGGGACAGGGGGACATCAGCCACAGGGACATGGGGACATCAGCCACGGGGACATGGGGACACGGGGACATCAGCCACGGGAACATGGGGACATCAGCCACGGGACGGGATGGGGACATCAGCCACGGGGACAGGGATGGGGACACGGGGACATGATGGGGACATCAGCCACAGGGACATGGGACATCAGCCTTGGGGACAGGACAGGATGGGGACATCAGCCACGGGGACAGATGGGACACGGGACATCAGCCACGGGGACACGATGGGGACATCGGCCTTGGGGACAGGATGGGGACATCAGCCATGGGGACATGATGGGGACATCAGCCTTGGGACAGGATGGGGACAGGTTGGGGACAGGGAAGGGATGGGATGGGGACAGGGACAAGGTCAGGGTGGGGATAGAATGGGGACAGGGGACAGCAGTGTCACCATCACAGCAACCAAACACTAGCAGAGGATTCCCTGACCCTCACACGGGGACAGCAGTGTCACCACAACAGTGACCAAGCACCGGTGACACCGTGACAGCGACCAAATGATGGCAGAGCATTCCCCAGCTCTCACTCTGGGGACAGCGGTGACACCGCGACAGTGACTGATGGACGGCAGAGGATTTCCCAGCCACTGGGCCCAGGGGACAGCGGTGTCACCGTGACAGTGACCAACCAATGGCAGAGGATTCCCTGACCCTCACACGGGGACAGCAGTGACACCATGACACTCCCCAGCTCTCACATGGGGACAGCGGTGTCACCAACCGCCAGCAGAGGATTCCCCAAGCTCTCCCACGGTGGTGACACCGTGACGGTGACCAAGCACTAACAGAGCATTCCCCAGCTCTCACTCTGGGGACAGCAGTGACACCGTGACACTCCCCAGCTCTCCAATGGGGACAGCGGTGTCCCCAGCCCCCAGCAGAGGATTCCCCAACCCCTCGCTTGGGGACAGCAGTGACACTGTGACACTGACCAAGCACCGGTGACACCGTGACAGTGGCCAACCAATGGCAGAGGATTCCCTGACCCTCACGTGGGGACAGCAGTGACACCGTGACAGTGACTGATGGATGGCGGAGGATTCCAAACGGCTCAGCCCAGGGGACACCGGGTGTCACTGTGACAGTGACCAAGAGATGGCAGAGCATTCCCTGACCCTCCCATGGGGACAGCGGTGTCACCAGCCTCAGCAGAGGATTCCCCAGGCCCTCCCTTGGGGACACCGGTGTCACTGTGACAGTGACCGAACAGCAGCAGAGCATTCGCCAGCTCTCACTCTGGGGACATCGGTGACAATGTGACAGTGACTGATGGATGGCAGAGCATTCCCTGACCCTCCCATGGGGACAGCAGTGACACTGTGACAGTGACCAAGCAGTGGTGACACCGTGACAGTGATCAAATGATGGCAGAGCATTCCCTGACCCTCACATGGGGACAGTGGTGTCACCAGCAGAGGATTCCCCAGGCCCTGCCATGGGGACACCGGTGTCACTGTGACAGTGACCAACCAATGGCAGAGGATTCCCTGACCCTCACATGGGGACAGCAGTGACACCGTGACACTCCCCAGCCCTCCATGGGGGACAGCGGTGTCACCAGCCGCCAGCAGAGGATTCCCTGCCCTGCCTTGGGGACACCGGCAGTGACACCGTGACAGTGACCAAGCACCAGCAGAGGATTCCCTGCCCTCCCTTGGGGACACGGCAGTGACACCGTGACAGTGACAAGCACCAGCAGAGGATTCCCTGCCCTCCCTTGGGGACACCGGCAGTGTCACGGTGCCCGAGCCAGCCGAGGATTTCCAAGGCCCTTGGCCGAGGGCCACCGGCATCCCCGTGTGACAGACAGGGCCATTCCCGCGGGCCGGTCCCCGGGGCGGTGACACCGCATCCGTGTCACGGCCCGGGGCTGTCCCCGCCGCCGCTCTGGTGACACCGAGGTGTCACCGCGTCACATCTGCCAGCCGCTGGCACGCTGCCCCCGCGCCGTGGCCGTAAATCAGCCCGAGGGTGTCCCCGGGGGGGGGGACACAGCCACACGCACGCACGCGGGGGGGTGGCACGGGTGCCAGGCTTGGCGCGGGCACAGCGGCAGCGCCCGGCGCCGCCGGGTCACATTCCAGCCTAATCCCTTGGCAGCGCCGCCTGCCAGCCCCGGGCGGCCGGGCCGAGCGCCGGGACCACCGGCAGCGCCGACCCCGCGGGCCCGAACCCCAAATTTTCCCTTTTTCCGCCCGTTTTTTACCATGGCGCAGCGCCGAGGCCCAGCCCGCCCTCACCCCCCCCCCCCCCCCCCACTTCCTCCCTCCCTCACCGCTCCTCGCTTTTTTTTTTCCAAATTCCCCTTTTCGCTGCTTTTTCGACCCAAACCATCACCTGGGGGTGCTGCCGGGGACACGCGGGCGCTGGCGGGGACGGGGCCGAGCCCCTGCGGCCCGATCCTGCCATTTTGGGGTGTTTTCCCCCCTTTTTCACCCCCCAAACGCAGCCCCCCCCGGCCCCATCGGACATGCGCGGGAGCCGGGGCGCGCTGGCAAAGCATCAACCAGAATTTTCCCACACGTGACGCTCCCACTCCCCGCACCTCGAGAAAAAGGGGAAAAAAAACCCAAAAAAACACCAAAAAACCCCGCTGGAGCGAGGGGGGGCCGCGATCCTAAAGTAAACCCCTCCCTGAGTGGATGAGGCGAGAGAGAAACGAGGGAAAATGGTGGAAATTGCAAATGAAAGGGTGAAAGGAGGAGGGGGGGGATAGGTGAAAATGGAAAAAATGTAGTAAAAACCACAATAAAAAAAAAAAAAAAGCAGCAAAAAGAAAAAAAAAAAGAAAAAGAAAAAAAAAAAGGGGGAGTGATTCGGCAAAGGGGAGGAAGGAGTTGGAACCAAGAAAGAGGGAGGGGATGGAGCTCCAAAATGGGGGGAAAAGGGAAAATGTGGGGGAAGAGGCACAGCGGGGCCTGAGGGCGCCGCTTCCCCCGCGCCGCACAAATCCCCGTTTTGCCTTTTTTGGGGTTTTTCACCCCAGTTTTCCTGGTGCTGGAGCAGCCGGCCAGGCCTTTGCTCAAGAACTTGGTGCCAAGTGTGGAAAATCTCAAGTTAGGTTGATTTTTTTTGGGGATTTTTTTAAGGGAAAATTGGCCGGGTTGGGTTCTCCCCCTCCCCAGCCCAGCCCGGCTGCGGCGGCTCGCCATTGTTCTCTGCGGGATTGGGCTGAAACGGCAAAAATCGGGAAAAAAGAATAAAAAAAACCCCAACCAACAAGTTTCAGCTGTGGAGGAGAGGGAGGAGTTGTTTCCCGCTGGGAAAATGGGGGAAAAGTGTTATTTCACCTTAAATCCGCACAGAGAGGCCAGGCTGCTGCTGATCGGGGGGGGGGGAAAGGTTCAAAATGGGCAAAAGTTCTGATCCAGGGGGGAAAGGTTGAGAAAAATGGGGATTTTTGGGTTAGAGGAGGAAAAAGTGGGAAAAAATGGGGATTTTGGGGTTTAGGAGGAGGAAAAAGTGGGAAAAATGGAGATGTGGGATGCTGGGGGGGAAGAAAAAGGGTAAAAAATGGGGATTTGGGAGGAAAAATGGTAAAAAATGGGGATTTGCGGGTGGTTGGACGGGGGAAGTTTTAAAAGTGGATTTAGGGTTGGTTTGGGGGTCCACATGGGGTTTGAGGGAAAATAATCCAGAAATTGGACAAAAAGTGCAGAAAAAGCCAAAGGAAAAGGTCAGGGAAGCAGCAAAAGGTGAGATTTGCCCATTTCTGAGGGGTTTGGGGCAAAAAAAAAGGAGGTTAAAATATAAATTTATTTATTTCTGAGCTTTTCTAGAAAAGAGGGAGCTCTAAAATCAAAGTGTGCCAATTCTGAGCGTTTTGGAGGGGGTTAAAATCCAATTTTGCCCCATTTTGAGCATTTTTGGCAGCTCTGCCATGCAGATGTAGCAATCTCAACACTGTGGGGGAAAAGTCCCAAATTTGCTCATTCTTGAACAATTCTGGGGAAAAGCAGGAGTTGAATTTCAAATTTATCCATTTCTAAGCCTTTTCCAGAAACACAAATTGTTCTAAAAGCTGAATTTAGTCATTCTTGGGAGCTCCAAAATCCACATTTACCCATTTCTGAGCATTTGGAGGCAAAAAAAAAAGGTGGTTAAAATACAAATTTACCAAATTCTGGGCATTTCAGGGCCAAGGAAAAGGTTCCAAACCCAGATTTAACCTTTTTTTTGGGGGGGGGGAAGTGAAGTACACCCAAATTTACTCATTTCTAACATTTTGGGAAAAATAAACTTCAAAATGTGAATTTTGAGGCCTTTTAAAGTGAGTGGCTTCACTTAAAGCTGATTTTTTTAACCCAAACTGAGCCCACTGGGCTTTGAGATGCCTTTTCCCCTCATTAATTTGAAAAAATTCAAGAAATTTAATTCAGAAGGGGAAAAAAATCTTCATTTCAGACAAAAATGGTCAATTTTAGTGCCCCACTTGATGGAAAAGCACCAGTAAAGGCGTTTGGACCCCCACAATTGGAATGAGGGTGTGAAAAACGGGGATTTTGGTGCTGAATTCTCTTTTTTTTCCTTATTTTAACCACAAAAGGAGTTCTCAAGGGGCTGGAATTTGGGGTGAAGGCTCAGCTGAATCACCAACACCCAGAGGTGGTTGGTAAATAAAATAAACCCTGATAAAATGTGATAAAAATGCAATAAAACAATAAAACCCCAGGGAAGCGGCTGCAGAGGGGACAACGGTGACACCTGAGGCCATCGGAGGCATGGGCACCCAAACACCTCAAAAATAAATATTGGGTAAATAAATGGGGTAAAACAACAAAAATAAATATTGGGGTGAATCAAAACGGGGTGAAACAACAAAATAAATATTGGGGTGAATCAAAATGAGGTGAAACAACTGATCAGGGTCCTAGAAGGGGAAAAAATGCCCCCAAACACCTCAAAATGGGGTAAAATAAATGGTTCAGGGTCCTGGAAGGGGAGAAACAGCCCCAAAGACTCAAAATGGGGTAAAATAAATGGATCAGGGTCCTGGAAGGGGAGAAATGACCCCCAGACACCTCAAAATGGGTGCAACAGCCACTCTGGGTCCTGGAAGGTACCTAGAGCACCCATGACCCCAAAATGTGGGGTGCAACAGCCAACCTGGTCCTGGAAGGTACCTACAGGCCCCAACACCCCACAAAACAGCCACTCTGGGTCCTGGCAGATGCACAGCAACAGCTGTCACCCCTCATGACGGGGTCAGAGCCCACCTTGGGTCCTGGCAGGGCACCACAGCCCCCCATCACCCCACATAACAGGGTCAGCACCACTTTGGGTCCTGGCAGGGACACAACAGACCCTGTCATGGGGTCTGAGCCCACTTTAGGTCCTGGCAGGGCATTGCTGGCCCCCATCATGGGGTCAGCACCACTTTGGTCCTGGCAGGGACACAACAGACCCTGTCATGGGGTCAGCACCACTTTGGGTCCTGGCAGGGCACTGCTGGCCCTGTCATGCTCACTGTGGGTTCACCACCCCCTTTGGGTCCTGGCAGGGCACCACCATGGGGTCAGCCCCCACTCTGGGTCCTGGCAGGGCACCACCAGCCCCATCACCCCCGGCCGGGCTCCCGGCAGCGCCAGGCCCGGTGTGCGGCAGCGGGAGGAGGTGTCCCCACACACGGTGGCCGCACGGTGACACTCGCGGTGACACCCGCGGTTGTT